AACGATAAGATTTATCTGTTTACAACTCCGATTATGTTGAACTCTGGAAACCGAATAGGTCCGTAAACGGGGTCGTGTGGAAGGAGAACAGAGGAGGCTGTCGAAAGGCTCGTAACTACTGTATGTGACTTGCGGGGTTGGCTCAAAAAAGATATGGAACTAGAGGAACTATAAGCAATTAGCACAAAATATAAGGCACGCGTTTGCTTTAAAAGCAGCACGGAATTGACTTATAAAGAGTGACACGCCCAAATCATTCCTCTATAATTCAATAAGTCACGTTGAAAAGTCAGGGTGAAAACGCTATCAAGGAAAGGGAATTTCTAACTCCTCTAAGCCACCACAAGCAGCTATATTATTGGCTGCTAAGGGTGGGAGTAATAATTACTCCCACACTTAACGCAAAAAACCAGTTCGCCAACGCTTTACCAAACTGGTTTTGCAATTATTTGACACAAGTTACTGCTTTCATTTATTATATTTTACAGGCAAAGTAAACATTGTTTCCGATGCCCTAGCCTACATTACAGGCGCTTTACGAGCCAAGCGAGGCGAAAGCGGCATTTTATGCGCCGGCAAAGAACATGAAGAAACTTTTTATAATGACACGAATAGTAAATAATAACAAAAACCTCTTCATTTCAAGTAATGGATTCTTGTGATAGCTGATGCTTCAAGGTAATTGTCTTTAACTCTACTATAAGCAAACAGGTAGTATAATACTGACGCCACCCGCAAATCAGATTTTTTCAAAAACTTTTTTAAACCATCATAAAATATCAATTATCCGAGTGGGTAAGCCGGCGATCACTGTTTCTCTAGTGATATTTTTAAATGCTGAAAGATTGAATGAAGTGCCAAAAACCTGACATTTCTCAGCAATTTCTGTCTTAACCAGTTTTGTTTTGATCATTAAAATTTTATTGCTACCTGCAAGACCTAGTTAAAATGGGAAATCGTTTCTGACAAAGACCAGAAATATTAACTGTCGGATATTCCACCCATTCTATTTCTAATTTACACTGAATAAAACGGATAAGAAAAAAAAAGTCGGTCGTATTTCAACATTACCCGTAAAATAATAAAATCGCCAAAATTTGACAGATCTACATTACAATTTTCGACGGTGATGAAATTAAAATTTATACTCCCTGATATAAAATAACATTTTAGAATAATTGTCTGCTTCCTCTCCTAGCTAAAATCTATTTACAACACTTCACAATGTTTTTGAGAAATGTTAGGTTTCCTCTATATACAAATTAACGGTAAAAGGCCCGCTTATTCTACATTGCTATTAATTTGCTAACGTACTAGGGTGTGGTTGGAAAAGAATAAAAACACTCGACGAAACGCACTTGTCAGTCGTAAATTTCCGCTTATGAAAGAGTTGAAACCTCCATCAAGCCATTAAAAATATTTGCGAAAATCATTGATCGATGAGACGGAAAATCCCTTTGTAAATTACACGGCGTTTCCGTTGGTGAACTTTTGTATAAAAGCTTTACTTGCTCCCCGTTTGCAAAGTCGTTGAACTTTCGTAGAATCGAATAATCCAAAGTTAAAGATTTCCAGATTGCTTCCCCATTATTTTAAACTGATTCTTTTTCTCTGTGTTAATGGTGATAAAAATTCATGTCAGCTAGCTAACAAAATTATGTCTCCTCTCTGGAAATACCGAGGTTAAACTATCACACAACAGCAACCTTGGTCTTCTTCAATTGGCTCTGATCGTTCCTGTTTTTCGGGATCCTTTTTCTCGTCCGTTTCCCCATCAGTTGATTTTTCTGGGTCTTTTTTCTCTTCATCCTTGTCCCCTTTATCTGCATCTTTCGTTGCTGTTTCATTCTCACCAGCTCCCTCATCAGAAGCGGGAGAAACTTCATTCGCGTTTTCTTCTGCTGCGGGTTTCTCTGCACCGCTATCGGCTTCGTCGCCTCCTGCGCCTTCTTCCGCTGCGGCAGCAGGCTGTTCTTCTGTCGTTGTTGCCTCGGCCGTGGGAGCTTCTTCGCCTTCAGCCGACATTACTTAAATCCTACCAAATCAACTCAATTTGGGTGTTCTACCGGCTTCAACCGCACAACTATCTTATCTCACGGCTTGCAATGTTTATACTTGAACAAACATCTCGGCGTTAGTCAAACAACACTCGAGAAATGACATAAAATATTTAAAAAGCGTTCATTTTGTCGTTGCTATAGCTATTCTTGTCGATACATGTCATTTTCCCGGGCACGAGACATTCTGACCAATCACATTGCTCTGTCTTGTTTTGCATGCATCTAAGTCCACAACACCTGTTGTATCGCTCAGCGTAGCATTGCAGAGTTTTGGCGCTTGAATGCAAGCTGCGGCCGTAACTGTCAAATTACGATTTCGATCCAATTTTTCCAAAACTGTTTACTGCTAACAAGTATTTCAGCAGGTACTTAACAAAGATCGAACAATGCCTTTGGACAACTCCTCTTAAAAACCTGCTAAAATAATTGTTTTTTAAAAACTCAGTACAAGTGACAAAAAGTATTTCAATTTTGAAATTATTTCTCTATGCCTTACAAAACACCCCATACCGAAAAACCTGTTGCATTACGTCCAACTTAAGGCCCCCTACCCCACCACAAATATAATAAAGTTATTTTCAGTGATTGTGGTCTAAGGAATCCAACGATTAAACACTCACTTCTAACGCGCTGGTGAATTTGAGAAATTAACGCTGCATTTTTCCCTTTATTGAAGTGTTTTTTTCCCCGAAATATTGGAGCGGAAAGGAATATGAATCGTTTCATAAACCTTTTGTTATAGATTAAACATGTAGGAGCTGAAATTGTTGCAAGCAGGCTCTCATTGTCACTAACACTGGAGGCTGTTGTAGAGCCTTTGGCAACATGGAATGGAACTACCCAACCTTAACATTAAACATTTAAGTCCCAAAAGTGACCAACATCATTTTTCTCCCAACAATATCAGTACATCATCATAAAAAAAGGATATGAGGATTATGAAAATGATCACTAAGGAAAAATACTTTGATCTTTTATCAAATTCTCTCAACTAATTCTTTAAGGAAATGAATGGAGAACAGTTTGGAGAATTTTTATGTGGATATTAATGCAGGGGCACCCAACGACAACTTTCGGAAAAATACCTGTTCGGAGGACGATTTGAGATCTAGAATTTTCGGAGCATTTGTTGTAAAATTTCTTGCTTGCCTGCCTCTCCTAGAATTTTCGAACATCTAAAAAGTGGTATAATTGCATATTTTTAACGGATTTTTACCCTAAAAAGGTCACCTAGAATTTTCGGGAGCCTTTTTTCTGGCTGAAACTTTCGAAAAGGTAAGTTTTGATCCCTATAATATTCGGATCACTAGACTTTCAGCTAGGAAATCCGAACAGATGAAAAATTTTTAGGGGATAAAAATATGCCTTTATCTACCGTTTAAATACTAAAATAAGTTTAACAATGCTATGTTTAAGTGCTTTTGAACTATATTCTCGTTGGGTGCCCCTGATTAATGGGTGGCATAGGAAGACATGTGGTTGTCAAGGCCACATAGACCCTGGTTTTTAAGACGTTGAATGAGTTTATCCTCACATGTGAAGCAGTCAACTGAACAAAACCAGACCTTGGCACGCCCCTGTAAGTTTTCACCCGATTACCCGCGGAAGTCTACTGACCAAAGTCAAAATTCCCCCTATATACGAACGGTACCTCTTTCGTATACCTTTCATTGACAAATGGTACCCCGGCTTCACAAACCTCACTTTCTTTAAAATATGATTTAAAAACTCATTAATAATTCACGAACTAAAAAAAAAAGGAAAGAAAAGAAATTGAAGTTTAATGAGTTTCTTTATATCTGATAAAGACACGGCTAAACTTTACGCGAGATTTTTTAGACCCAAATAACCGCGAATCTAAATCTTGGAGCAAGAATGAGTTGATCTATACTTCAGGATCAGAGATTTTGAAGCCGTTGAAAAAACTCGCAGTCGTGTATTATCAGGTTTAAAAACTCACGGCCTCGCCTCTAGTTTTTTAACCTGATAATACCGGCTCCTGCTCGTTGTGTGCAGGAATCGAGAGAGATCTTTGATGAGCATTCACTGCATGTTGCTAAGATCCAGATTCAAACTCAGGTCTAATAGCCGTGCACTTGGTACAACAGGCTCAGTAATCCAGTCCAGCGGTTTATCAATAAATGGATGCTTACAGTCGAAAAACCAGTTTGACGAGAGAAAACAAGATTGACTAGTTCAGACGTTTGGGCTGCGGCTACTTCAAACGCTTGTCGTGATTCAGGGAGAGCCTCCTTTTCTACACCTCAATCAAGAAGAAGACAAGAGGAGGCTCTACACGCAAGGTGATTTACGCTTCCACCAAACGTCTAAGTTGATATTTTTGTTATAATTTCTGGGATTTCATTTGCCAGTAAGTGAAAAGAATCGGCGGAGATTTATAAATCAGTCCGTTAACCAGTTCGTTAATCAGTTCTCAAACGTTTGAGCCTTTTTTCGTTGAAAACGCTTGGCGTTAAAAGAAAGTCGTGCAGGAAATTGGCGCCGACAATAACATGCCTAAGATAGGTGTCGCTTGTCAAACTTTAGGACTCTTTTATAGGAAACCTTAAAGTAGATAGTAAAATATAACAGGATATTGGTAACACGGCAACTTTAGCTTTGAAGAACTTTGCTTGAAAGCGGTGAAATTTACGCTTACCTATTGGAAGGTCTAACTTACAGCAAATTAACCGACAACGTGTGACATTACAACCTGGGCCAAGAATCTCATGAACGCCCATATACTGTGGTCGTTCGTCTCTTCTGTTTCCTCAATGTTGGCTACGAAAATGGGTCCTTTCAGCTCAAAAAACTATTCCTTAACAACATTGGAGAGAAGAATCGAAGGGAAGTGACCCAGGTTAAGTGTCACAAATAGTAGACGTTTACTCTTGCCTTGAAATGTGTATTTATAGCAAACTACTTTTTAGTTATCCATGGTTATTCAATTTCCTGCAGTTTTAGTCTTGCAGCTTTTGCTCCCTGTTTGTCACCAATTCTATCCACGCACTTTGCTAACTGGTAATAGCCGAATTTCTTGTCTGGTCTAAGTCGGGTTATCTAAAAACGAAAAAGAAAAAAAGAAGACGAAAAAGATGGCAAAGTACAAGTTTAGAAATGGTCGAGTCTTGCCCTGGTTTAGCCTGAGAGAACCACGCCCACACTGATTTCCCCGCGCAATGACCTCTGAAGAGTGAGCGTAGAAATTGCTGATGATGTATCACTACCCGGATCTGGGTGGTGCCTCATAGTTAATTAAAGTGGAATGGTTGGGAAACCCTTTGTTATAGGTTTTTGTTAGCTTTTTTGTATCTGACCGTGCACAACGTTCAATAGCATTCCTATCATGTTGAAGTTATTGACCAATAGAAACATTGGATTAATTTATTCAGTCACAATCTGTGAACAAAAACCAAAGGATTGTGCACGTCAGGGAACTTCCAACATAACCTACAGCACTATTGTTTTCAACTTTGATGTTTGCCGGGTTTCCTGACCAGTCTCCCCTACTAACTATGGTGCCTCTCAGAGAACTTCTGCAGTCGTTCCTCATTTCTCAAGGAAACAAATCTTGTCGCGAAATGTTGGCTGTTTTCTCAAGCTTGCCCTGATTCAGTGTAAAATAAGTTGGGCAGAATTGTGACGTCACGTTACCATGGTAGCAAAATTTCTGGATCGTAACAACAGGGAGCTTATAATTTAAGCGTAGACGACGGGTTAAAATTAGGAAAACAACAACTTTGCACGTACTATCACGCTTTTTGTGCATTTTTTAGCCGTTATTGCACGACTGCGACGTGAAACTTCGTAATTTCACGCGCCCTCTTTATGGAGCAGGGGAACACAACTCAAAAAATGTTCTTTTTCTTTTTCCAATTCTAATATTACATACGGTCCTTTCTGATTCAACCCCGAAAACGTTCGCTAACATTTGAAAATTAAGGGAAACTCAGTAAGATCAATGAAGTTTGAAACAGTGCGAACACTTTTTAAGCGGCTTTTTCGGTTTGATGTCATCCAGAAATTCTGCTACCATGGCAACGTGACGTAACAAGAAAATTTAATGAACCTATCACAATTCAAAGTAAATACATCAAGTCAAAGCCAAGCGCGGAAAAAGGCGTGAGCCCAAGTTACAGTTTTATTTCTTATTGGTCGCGAAAATCTCGCGAGATTTTTGGCCAATCAGCTAAGAGAGAAAAGTGCATGGCAATTAAGGAAGACGATTTTGTGCAAGAAATACCTTGGCATGAACTTTTGGTAGAAACATCATCGACGTCAAGACAACCGAAATAAATATGATGGGAATTTAAGGGTTGAAACAATAGAGAAATTATGCTATACTGGAAGAAGATAAGACAAGTTTTACACTGACCTGTTTATATTCGCTTGCTGCGTTCACATAGTCGCCCTGATGAGACAAAGTCGAGAACAGTTGGTAAACATTCTGGCACACCCAAGAATAAAATTATTTTGAAACGCTGTGCAACATCAGTCTTTGTTCATGTTCTTGAATTTCCTCCTATCCATTTTTGTGTATAAGTAAAGTAATTGACTGAGCCTATGGCTTACCTTGCTATATAGGAACTCTCCATAATGAATATGCCCATCAAAACTGTCAGGGTGAACTTCAAGGGCTTCTTTGAATAACTTTTCTGCCGTTTCCTGGTTACCATGGTGATCGTAATACCTTGAAAGATCTAGTCTGGCTATTACAAACAGAGGATCCACACGAACAGCTGTCTCGAGTGCCTGCAATAAGGAACGAGAGTAAGTGTTAAATATTTCATGATTTTTCTATTATTCAGATTTGTGCCAAAGTCACTATTCTTGTTTTCTTGGGCTAGAATGAGGCTCGCGAAGTGTCTTTTAACATAACTTCCCGCACGCCTCTTTGTACCAAAAATCACTTATGTAACGACTGGTCACTACGATTTCTAGTCCCTTTGAAAAGAACTAGTAAAATAACGGTAATTCTTTGATAAAGAGATTGTTTACCGCACGACTGCTATAACCGGGGCCACCTAGACAAAGTCGACCAATCGGATTACAGGAAAATAACAATACATTCCGAGAAAGTTAGTTGTCAATCATAATTACCACGAAACGAAAAAACGACGTGGATCGAAATCAACCAATAGAAACCTACAGACTTGAACTGTTGAACCCGCTGAAGAAAGCGCGGGTTTCCTGAGAGGTCCGTTAGAGTGAGTGACGGAGGCGAAAAACGTAAAATATAGTTATTCAGTGAAATCCAACTAGTGGTCTATTATCAATGCTGCGTTCTGATTGGTTGAGCTAGTGCGAGGCTATATGTTATGGCCCACTACTAGCGAAAAGCGCCGGCTTTGAAAACCAAAACAATGGCGGCTAAATCGCGTTTTGCTAGATAAATTTATTTTGTCTTGATATTTTTTACCAACTGGTTGGATTATACTAAAACAATTATTTCCTCTCGCCCTCATGGCCTCTGAGTCAATAGCCCATTCGGCCTTCGGCCTCATGGCCTACGGACTCAGAGCCCATTCGAACTCGAGGAATAATTGTTAAATATTTGACTTGCAGTCGCATGATATTACTAAGCGCGGCAATAGTAGCGAAGAAATTGCTGGTAGATGACAAAATAACAGCTTGTGTCAAAGAAATGTGTCTCATGGGTGTTGTATACAAAGTTTCGTACAGAAAAACATTGACTGGTGAAAAATTTTACTTTACGGAAAAACGTTTGCTATCAATGTTAAATTTTTGTGCCTCGAGTAACTTGTCGTTTTTTTTACGAGTTGCTGATTGGCCCACAACCAACTTTAATGGAATGAATTGTTATTTTCCTGTAATCGGATTGGTGAACTTTGTCTAAGTGACCCGGTTACAGTATATAGTCGCACTGTAACAGTAAATGCAATAGGTATACCTCATCAATGTGGTAATTTGTTTTGCGCGGTCATCTGAGCCATCCGAAGGCTGCTTAAAGTTGTAGGTCAAAGACGGAATCTATCTCCTCTTTAGTTCCAAGAAGCAGACCCGCGACCTCCCGCTCTTCACACCTGCACTTTACCAACTGAGTTACCGTGGCGCAGACGCACTCACCTTAATTGCCTTCTGTATATCTCCCCTTTGAAAGTACTGGTCGGCAAGCTTATGAAGCATCTCAGTGTTGTCTAAAATCAACGGGAACAGTATTTCATTACTTAAGACTACTAAGGGAATCTTGAGTGATATTTATTATTGTGCCACTCTGCCGAAACTCGTCCCCAGGGCTCTTCCCATCAAAGAGGGAGCGAGGTTGTACGAAGTCGATATTGCGCTGTCCGTGATCAGTTGATACATGACTATTAATAATTAAAGACCAAAAAGAATTAAATTAATTCTTCAGTAAATTGCTCATGGCTTAAAATTGTTGATTATGTTAACCTCATTCCCAAAACCCTAGTGATATGAGAACCCCACTCATATTAACTTAGCGATTTGGGTTAGAGTTAGGGTTACAGGGGATGCCCATATCACTAGTAAAAACCTTTGAATGCAGTAGTCCACTCAAAGCGCAAATAAAACCGACTGGTTCTTTCTTGCCGGATCTCTAATGTAGAGAAAATTAGCCTTCCTCAGAGGAAGGCTAATTTTGTTAGCCGGAGTATTAGCCTCAAATAAATCAGCCCCTTGCCGTATTGGCATTCAGTTTTGTTTTAATTCCCGTATCACTAGCCGGTTTGGGAATGGGGATGCCCATATTACTGTGACGCCCAAACGAAAACCATACATTGTAAGGCTTCTGTTTATACATAGGAATTGTGATTTCGGCGCGATTTCTAGGACGGACTGTTGCTACCTAGCGCCAGTCTCGAAAGTGGAGCGTCATATATTTTGTAGATTCAATGCTACCCTTTAGTGCGGTGTGAAAGGTATTCGGATCTTAGCGGAAGTAAATAAGTAGAATAGACTGAGACGGAAATAAATTTTCAGTGGTGAGGACTGGGATTTAGTTAACCAGCACCGGCACGATGTTCGATGTGTCAGTGACGCTTTTTTCCAGATCTGGACCGTTGCTTTTCATGCTATACCAGATAGCCTATCTTGTTTGTCGGCACCAAAAGCTACCGTTGAGTGAGAGCAGAGCCTTAATTAATCCATTAGTTGCCATTATTACTTTTTTTTTACTAAATAAATATGAATCGAAATACCTGGTAGGAGGGCTGAAAGTTCTTGAAAAATTTTAAGTTGATCTCCACCCTTGCTGCATGTTACCAGCTAAATAAAGGAAAAAAGTAAAAAAGCATCTCCCTAAAGAGGGTCTGAATTGGGGGGGGGGGGGGGGGGGGGGGTCCACTTGTCGGTTGTCGGTTAAAATTTAGTTACTTTGTCGGTAGTCGGTTAAAAATTTCGATCTTTGTCGGTTGTCGGTTAATCTCAGTTAATAAGTAAAAATGCTTGCTAATTATTAATTTTGTTATGTGTTTCAATCAGTTTCAAGACTTTGATCCCTATAAAATATGTAAAACTTGTAAAAATGCATCATTTCATTGAACTTAAACTTCATTATGCAACATGATAGTGTATTTCACCAAAGCGTTTATTGCAAATGCGAATTTGGTTTCCCTGTTGACCACAGGCCACCATAAAAAGTAATGAAGAGAGGTTAATTGGACACAGAGGGAAACGCCCAGTCTAACCTTTTGGATACGTAAATTATTTTTGGTGAAAAACTACAAGGGGTGACAGGTTGCACATCTATACTGGCGTGAAAGACCTTTAATATTTTGGCTCTAACAAGCATGTTCTTTGCCATGGTTTTCCTTTCTTTCAGGAAATAAGTGGTGGTTCTTTAAAAAATTAGCAAAGTAGCGGTTGGTTTTGTATGAGATTCCACTTTTCCATTAAAGTTTCTTTTACGACCAAAAGTCAGTTACAGTGTACTGCGCAAGCGCGACCAGTAAATTTCCTCGTCGTGGTGTCGTCGACGACGCCAAACAAAGTACAATCACGTCGTCCTGCAATCCACAAGCTTCAGCAGGTATAATGCAGCTATCAATGTAATGCCGGCGGGGAGGGAGGCAGAGCGTAGGGTGGAGATTTGACTTTTTTCAGAAATTTCAATCAAATTCCCTGCCCACGGGCAAATCATTCCAGTCAAATGCAACCAAATTTCCCCACCCTAGGCTGCACATTGCTGTCAATCCTAAGGCAGAACCCAAGAAAGGCACAATAAAAATATCTCCAAATAAAACTCTGCAATCTTCTATAAATGTTGCTGCATCACCAAAGATACATGTTCCTGTGACAGCTTCAATCATACGTTTTAACCATAATCCGTGTTACACTGCGTAGAATACATAAACCTTTAGGAGAAAGTCCACATTTTGTAAGTTTAAATATACCGTTATTAGTAAAGGGTACAAAAAAAGTCAGTTTCGTAAGTTTACACTGATTGTAGCGAATGAGCCATACACTAATCAATTGTACTTGCAAAAATCGACTTGGTTTCTCTTTACTTTCGTTTACTTTGATTCCACAGTATTTTAAGAGGTTCAATTGATCAAAAACACGCTAAAACAAGCGAAATTTGAAGACAAAACAGTGAAATTCAGTCAGCCTTCGCTTGCTCTCATTGACCTCCATGACTTCCCGATCTTTTCAAACCGTACGGCGCATGCGTGAAGCGTGGAAGTGGGAAACAGATGTTCCGTCGCAGTCTTTTTCGCCCAAGTCGGCAGTCAAATATCTCCACGTCGGGCGAAGAAAGATTCAAATATCCCCTCCCCTGGGAGAACAAGATCAGTCAAATTCCTTACCCCAGGGCCAACAAAGACAAGCAAATCCCCGCCCCCCGCCCCCTCCCCCCGCCGGCTTTACATTGATAGGTGCATAAATCCACTGTTTTAAGCGATTTTTGAAGTCCTTTGCTTTTTCTTATCCTCGTAAATCCAGGTATCGTTGCTTTTTTCTCGTAACAAGCGATGTTGATTGAAAATTCGACTAAAAGTGTACTGTGAAAGGTTTGAACCCGGGAGTCATTTCAAAAGTAGGCTGAGTTTGATCGTCCGGGTGAACGTAGTCCTGAATAGGACTATTGTTGTTGACAGTGACTGACGTTTCGACAATCTGTGCGGTAGTCATCTTCAAAGTCAAAGTGAGTTGTATTACGTCAGTTGATCTTATTATACTCTGGTTATTTATCTGATTGGTCAATTACGTCGCGACGTTAATGGTCGTCTGTCAGTTAAGCCGTGATGTTATTGGCTATGAAGAATAAAAGTATACTATGATGAATTGTTTTTACTTCGAAGAATGACAACAGCTGTGGAGGCCGAGTGAGCGAACTCGTAAGTGAGAAATTTATTTGTACGTATTTAGGTAAGGCAAATCATATATCTTTAATATAGAGGAAATAAACTTTATATGGATCAGAATGTCTCTTTTTCCAAATCTAAACTCTGACAGACACTCGGACTCGGTCATCTCTTTCAGGTTGAAAGTGTTGAATAATCTTTGTGCGGAAAGCAGGTGTTTTTCTACTCGAAAAAATCAGACAACACAAAAAATTCTCCATCGTCAGTGAAACTAGACGTACGGCTTAAAAATTACACCTTGCATTGTTTTAAAAGACGCCATTGCGAAAAACTTTGTTGCGAACGAACATCACAGTTTTACATTTGTGTTTACATTCAGGGTCGTCGTCGTCGACCCATCGACCGATTGCATCTTAAGTTTCCTTTTTCCTGCCGAAACTGACGTTCTCGTTCCAGTCTTTTCCCAGTCAACAGACGCCGTCGTCGTAAACTTCGTTGTAGTTCTTAAGTTCCCTTTTGTGTCAAGAAAGGTAACATTTCTTTTCTTTCCTTGCTCGGTTTTGTTTTAGGAGCGCAGACTTCGGTTTCTGTGAGTTTCATTTATTTCTGACTGCAATTTGTCTTTCAAATTGTGTTGGTAGCCTCTGTACATCATCAACCATCAAGCGTTCTTTTGAATTTTGAAACACTTTCCTCAAACTCTTTTGACAAATCGGTGGGCGACAAGCCGCAAAATGTGTGCTGGAAAGTTTCCGTAATCTTTACATCAAGGATAACTTTTTCGTTTAATCTTGTGCCTTTGTATACAACTGTGTCTAAAAACATTGTCTCAGTGAATTTCGGTGGTGAATTTAATAGTAGGATCGTGCAAGTTTGCTTCTTCGAAGAAAGTTACGATGTCTGGTTTAAAGACGGTTTAGCTGCTTAGACTTTGTGTTTCAAAATGACATGAAAATGTTGGCAGAGGAAACTGCTGTCTTTGTGCCCATCGCGGTACGGTGGGTTTGGAGGTAGAGCTTTTCCATTGAACGGGAAAGAATTTTCTTTGAGGATTAATTTAAGCATTTGTCGCATATAATGTTTAGGACCAGGCGGGTTGTAGAATTTTTTGTCATACGCTCTGCAAACCGATTTCAATATCCTCGTTTTGTGGTACTGACTTGTAAAAAGACTTGTGACGTGGTATCTTGGGTTACTTCCTAGAAAGGTAGGAAAAATACAATATACTCTTCTGTCTGAAAAAAATATAGATAATGTCGATCCATGTCGGTAGTCGGTTAATAATTTTCCTGTCGGTAGTCGGTAATTTTTTTCGCGTTTTGTCGGTAGTCGGTAATATTTGTTGCCCTTTGTCGCTAGTCGGTTAACCCCATTCACACCCTTCTTAAAATTTAATTATATATATATATGAATAGCCTCATACTGTCATACTATCGGCACAGTGTACTGTACCGAACAAGGCATATAAAACGTAATGCCGCCCGGAACTCCAAATTGGCACCCCGTTCTGAAAAATAATTCCCCTAAAATTGATACCCCGTTCTAGAAATGAGTCAATTTTTTTTACCCCGTTCTAGAATCCGCCCTAAAACTGATACCCCGTTCTAGAAATGGGCCAATTTCTTATACCCCGTTCTAGGGTGCAACAAGAGTACAACAGTTTGCTTGTTAACGCATTGAACCATATTTTTAAAAGCAATCTGTCCTTGAATAATTTCAAATGGCTGCTTACAAAACTGGAGCTTTCGTGCGTTTGAAATATTATACCCCGTTCTAGAAAACGCCTCTGAAATGGATACCCCGTTCTAAATCAGGAGCTTCAAAATCACGACCCCGTTGGGCGGCACATACCCATATAGGTAATGTATGGGAGTACCCCCCCCCCCCCGGGGTATAAATAGTCTGCAAATCTCATGCTCTAATATTAGTCTGCGAATACAACCGTTTCTCCTAGCTCCTCGCCGCCAGGGACGTTTCGCTATGCTTATACAGCTATTTCGAGAAAGGTTGTCAGAAAAAATGTGCACGCAACGATCCCGAAAGGTCATTATATGTGATATGATCAATGCACTGTTCCTGACACTGTAGCTGTCGAATCTTCTATTGTTGCTTTCTTTAGCATTTGCAAACATTCGTCTATGGCCTCTAGCCTCGTGCCATTCTTTCAAATTTCTTTGAAGAACATTGAACTCAAAACCACCTACAATACCTTTCAGGATTGTCGCATGCACTTTTTCCGACGACCTTTCTCGAAATAGCTGTATACAACCTCGCCCCCTGGGCTCCCTTGGGACGAGGTTGGTTCTTATTTTATGGGCTTATGTAAAGGATCGAACGTTTTAGGAAATTCAATAGCCACACACTTTTGTAAAAAAGCTTCTCAATTTTTGTCGCAGCGTTGTACTTTTGAATGCCTATAGCCATCGTGTCACCTATGTTTACTGTTCCATGGTAATAAGATTCAGGCTAAAAGAAAATTGAAATATATATACATTAGCATTTTCTTACATAACTTTGGGAAAACAGGCTGTAAGGATGTTAAATGACGCTATTTACAACGCTATAAAGATTATATTCCGTCTCAAAGTGTTAAATAATAATTTCAAGATGTGCCGCACCAGGTAGGACCGTTGGATACCAACTGGGAACAACATATGACCATGTGTTATAGTGCAAAATGAGCCGTGGAAAATATTTTAATTGTTTGGAAATACTTAGTTTTTTTTCTTGAAGCGCGAGCAAGCACTTAAAAATGCGTTAGGTCTAAAAAAAATAGCTGTTTCTAACAGGTCTTTGACAAGAACGTATCGCATTGGCAGCGAAATTGGGTTCAACTTCAACTGCGTACGGTTGATTGTGTCATCATGCACACGAGTTGGGCCTTTAATTAATTTTAAGACTTACCAAGTACAGAATATCTCCCTCCTCTTGTATACACTCTACTGGCTTGTCTTTTGGTGATGGATTAGGGTAAACTTTATTTATCCAATCCAGTTGCGAGAAACTTGGCCATACACCTAAGAAAAAATAATGGATAACGATGTCCTGGCCCCTGCTGTTCAGACGCTGAATGGAGCTATCCACCGGACAAATCACTATATTATAGAGGGCAAGTATCAGGGAAACTACTTGCGGTATGGACTGGATAGAGATTCATCCTATCGATAGCGTCGTCCACCATTAGAACAACTGGGCCAGAAAGGAAAGATTTTTTAGAAGTATGGAACAGTCTCCCCGCTTTTCTTGGGAACATTGCATGGGCGCTCTGTGATACGCGTGATCTTGCACAGTCTAACCTCCTGGCGGTGTTTTCTGTGGTGGGTAAAGAAACCATCGCTTTCTTCCAAAAATGACCCCATTCCACGCGTCTGCGTGCTTGTGGAAGCTAACTCCCGATCCTGATCCTCCGAGAAAGAAAATACTGGAATCCACGCCATCCTGGAATGATAAGACGTTCCCACATGTCATGAGTTAACCTTCAACTCAATGTAAAACGAGACTACAAGAGGAAGATCGTTTTCCTTTTTCCACTACTACTGTGAATCAATTGTTTTTAAAAACGTTTTTTGATGATTTACCTTTATCCTAAAGTAGCTTGGTACTCTTACACTTTGGGGAAGCTCACTGTCGTTATAAAACCTTCTGTCAAATACGTACCTGAAATGTTAGACTGCAAAACAGTCGGTTTTTTTTCTCAAAATCACTAAAGAAATCGGTATAGCGTGGCGTAAGAGTCTTATGCGCGCGAAGCGCGCGAGCCTCACACGCCCGTAGGGCGTGTGATGCGAGTCTCGCTCTCTGTTTTCAGCCTCATTCCATACCTTTTGTTTGACTGCTCGCGCGTACTTGAATACGCAAAAATACGGACTGTTTTGCAGTCTACTGAAATGTCAGAGTAAATGAAAGAAAGTGTACAGAATTAATGTTACAACTGCACTAGTGCACGCAGTGGAGAGAAGAAAAAACCAAGGAATCCAGTTTGCAAATGTTCGTACTGGTACTGGCATGGCATGTCGTTCTGATATCAGATAGAGCGATTTTCGTATGACCTTGAAATGAAAAAGCACGAACAAAACAGAAACAACGAACGAACAGAAATAGAACGATTCGATTGTTTTATCGAACGGATACAAACGCGTGTGGCTTTTAGTTGGTTAAGCGTATGCTCGGGTTAAAAAAAAAAAAACTTCATGCCAATCGAGATCAATCGACACTTCGCTCTGACGTCATACTGCAGCCCGATTGGCCAATCGAACAGCGCAGTCCATGTTAGGGTTTTCTTTGGCGGGAAAACGAAGAGTCCATGTTTTGATCTGGTAGATGTTCGGTGTAACCAGTGTAACGAAACTTTGATGTTATTATTCAGGATCGCATATGGTCTCTCAAACGCATCCCAATAGGCTGTGAAAGCCCATGATAACTTCCAGTTTATTTATAATAATCCTCTTAGTGTTCTCTAAGATTAGCTGGGCACCGAGGTGAACAAAAGCCCCAGAAATACAACTTACATGGGTTCCTCATTATGTTTCTTTTCATGCATGATTTCCAAGTATTTCTTAAACGACGTCTGCGTGTCTCCGTTGAATTGCACGATAAGGGGCTTTTTATATCTGTTGAGAAAAAAGTATTAAGTTTCAAAGCTGTGAGGTCACATATTCGCTCTAACTGGTTGAAAAATAAACAAAAATAAGGAAAACACCCCTCTGACCTCACACACCTTACCTGTATATTTTCTCAAATTCTTCAAAATCCAAACTCTCTGCATTTCTTTTTTCAATTGTACAAAGGCTTGTATTGTATTTTAATTCATCTTCCGATGATGCTCGCTGCCATCCACTCACTTCCGGTGAAATTTTAACTGATGTCTTACTGATGACGTAGTAGATCAAGAAGCATGTTATATGTTATTATTTTCTTTTGTTCACCTTGGTATTAGCTTGAGATCGGCTGTTGTTCTTGGGCCTTTTCATTTTGATTGTTTCTAAAAGGTCAAATACATACGCTATTATACTTTAGAAAAATCCAACTAGTGGTCTATTATCAATGCTGCGTTCTGATTGGTTGAGCTACTACTAAGCTATATGTTATAGCCCGTTAGTAGCGAAAAGCTCCGGCCTTGAAAACCAAAACAATGGCGGCTGAATCGCGTTTTGCTAGCTATAATTGTTTTGTCTCGATATTTTTGACCAACTAGTTGGATTTTACTAAAACAATTATTCCTCTCGCCCTCATGGGCTCTGAGTCAATAGCCCATTCGGCCTTCGGCCTCACGGGCTACTGACTCAGAGCCATTCGGGCTCGAGGAATAATTGTTAAATATTATGCAAAAAGAAGGTACTCTTCCGACTCTTAAACGTTCATTAACCTAGCGACTTCTAGAAGCGGTCAAAAGTAAAAACTGGGTAAAAATTGAAAAATTTTACTTTTGAAATGCTGAAAAACAATTTTTACCATGTGAAAGTACTACCTAGTAGCTTTCATTTGAATGGTCACACAATGAGGTTTTGCTCACAGACTGAAAAGTTAGAACCACCATATACAGCATACAAAAGGTACCACAGGAAAGTATTGAACGGTAGCTTTCATTTGAATCCACAAACAGGAAAGGGATCAATTGAGGTTTTTGGGTAACTGATCACCCACCCCTCCCTTAAGTCAACATTAACACTTACTTCTCATTCAGGGCAAAATTGTAGCGCGGGGGGGGGGGGCAGGTGACCTTGCGAGACTCCATAATTCACTTTGGCAGTAAAAGGGACAGTAAATCGGCTGTGCATGTGTGTGGGCTTCAAAAAATGGTTGGCAAAACTGAAGAATTTAAAAATAAAAATTTTCATTTCCGTGGATCAAGGAGGGACAACATTTTTTTCAAAATGAAATTTGAAAAAGATAACGTTTTAGTTTCTAAGGGAATTAAAACTCTAGTGCCGCGGAATGAAACAAAAAAGAAGACAAAAAACACTGCGTCGGTCAATATCATTATTGAATCATGCTAATGCAATGCCATATGACAAGAAAATGAGCTTTTAATAAATGAATGTACGTTTTCATGACAAATTATCTGCCCATTAAATTTATTTGATGAAAAGTGACTTAATTTCGTTTTATTTTGAAAATGCTACTAAAGTGGATAACACGTTCGTTTTCAGCTACTGAAAGCTGAAATGAAACCCTGAGAATAATATTCTCCACATTTTTGAGAATGGCAAATTTGGGAGACACTCTTTTTAATTCAAGTTTGCGTGACATTCTAAACGTGGCATTGTTTTAAAAAGCACTGTGATGACCTGGGTGGGCCCAGTACTCCGCTCGTCCAGTGCATATTCACGTGACTACGTGACTGGGCGGAGTCACGAAATTTCAGGGCAGGACGTCGAAACTGGACTTCAAAACATGGCTGCTGACAAAACCGTGAGGAAAAATACCCTTGCAGGTGAAGATGGAGAAAGTGATAGCTTCCACGCGTCTGAAAACAGTCTTGAACAGAGGACAACTCTTACTGCTATTGGCAAGGTGAGTTTTTAAAATATTTTCCAGGATTTGCTGCATTGCTACGAAACTGATCAATTTGAAATCAGCTGACGTGCATGAAATCACTTACATTTGAGCTGGTACAAGGCAGGCTTTTTTTTCTTTTCAATCTTCCTTAGAATGGAATTTAAATTACCTATAACTACTAGGAAGAAATTCTTGACTTCTTAGTTTGATACTTCAATATACACAGTGTTAAATCTGGGAGTTATGACCCTGCATCAGTTTCGAAAGTGAAAGTTCATTTATATGAGAAAAGCTTTTCAAGAGTTTGCTCTAGCTTACGTACCTGAAAAGCTTCTGGATTTTCTGCTATGTAAAAACTTCTGTGAGAATGTGACGATCTAGACTGTACTTAGAAATTATTACAGTTTCATCTTTTGCATTTTGGGTCTTGATCGAATTTTCGTTAACTACCTGCTAGCAAATTCATCACCCAGGGGTATCCCCCTATGTAATCTATGAAGCCAGAGGGGAATCGACCGTGGCTGATCAGTGGCCCCCTCCTTATTTTGAAGTCCTAGAAAAAATATAAATTTTTTTTTCATCTTGTGGCCTGGATGAGCATGTCTTATCCCTGCCTCTCACTATCTCAATGATCTGAATCGGCCACTGAAAACTGTGCGCTAAGAAAAATACCAGGGAGCTTAAGAACTCTTAGCCGTTAAAACCCAGCTTGTCTAGCTCATAGAGTGACATAATTATGAATGGGGACCAGGAGTACAACCCTGCTGAAAATTCACAACAGTACCCCTCATGGGTGTCACCCACAATTAGCAGTCGCATGCATGAACAATACTTAGGTGGGCTGCAAGGAAGACACATGAAAGGGGAGAGGTGAATTTATCTCTCGCTAAATTGAGTAAATGCTGTTAAACAATAGTGTACTGTAGTAATGTGAAAACAAAATGAGACTTTAAAATACAGTCTTCAATTATGTCTGTGTCACTTTCTTGGTAACAGTAATGCAATCCAAAGGGAGCACTGTAGATTCTTTGGAAGTGGTGAAGCCATGAGGGAAATTCCCACCTGCCATGTTTCATTTGAGTTTTGAATGCTGCACACATGCATGTATTGTCTCTTTGGTTGAAAGAGACATAAAGACATAATTATGTTTGGGGACAAGGCAGTACAACCCTTCTAAAAGTTCACTTGAGTTATCAGGGAGGGAGGTGTATACATGCACTAGTCCAAGGATGTCCAATTACGTCAACAGCTTCTCATTGCCTAGCAGTACCAGCTTATGCAGTGCTTGAGTCATCCACTTGATATTGTATGGTACCTGACCATGTGCCAAGGTCCCACCACAGGCAAACCTTCCAAACTGTTTGAGACATCATTATGCCATGAGTGACATGTGATCCCATACATTTACTGTATTTTGTAATTCCCACTCTCGGCTTGATTCAAGTGATCGGTAGAAATGCTTCATAAAACACAGAATTTTGCACGTTTTGATTCCAAATATTGATATAATGTAAGAAAAATGAATAACGATGACTTACCACATGTTTTGTAAGTGTGGTGTTCTGCGCTTTTTGGTGTTTTAGTTGCTTGAAACTGGCAGTCGGGATCATGATATCTCAAACAGTTTGGATCATGGTCTGCCTGTGCACTACTTGGAGAGCATATTTAAAAAACTAAAGGGACAGTGCCTAGAAAGTTAGGCCCAACTGACTCCTTAAACTCCTTAGACTGTTAGATTTTTCTTTCCATATTACCTTGTATCACTTGGTGAAATAAAGAGTGAATATTATTTAGCCTATCTCAAAGATCACTATAATAATATTATTATTAAAATAATAAATAAATTGTTTTATTCCTTACACCTTTTTGGTTTATAAGGTTGAAGCACTGCTATTGCCATTGTTTTATCTCAATATTTTTTCTTTTTTAGTTGAAAACCTTTGCTGGCCTGGAAGCTGTGGAGTGGACCTTTCTTACTATTTCAATAATAAATGTGCTAGTTGCAATTGGTATAACAATAGACAGGCTCATAGAGCTGCACAAAAACACACCAGACTACACCTTTGCAATCATTCTCTTTATTAATATAGGTATGTTCTAAGTGTAGATTACAGGGCATGACAAATCTCAGGGGTGGGTGGGGGTTTTTGTGATAGAGGGGGCCTAGAGATGTAGTATACAGTGCCAATATGCATCAGGATTGTGAATGGCGTACTTTTCTGGGGAGTTTTGGGTGCATTCTCCTCCACCAAAATTTTTGAGATTGAAGTTCTCTGAGATGCAATCTGGTGTATTCTAGACGCTTAAATTTCGCAAATGCCTGGATTCCATATTGAACTTGTAATGCTGAAATATTTGAGAAAAAAAATTCCCGGACAAAAGGGGGGGCCGGGGCCCTCTGGGCCCACCCCTAAATCCGCCCTTGAATCTTATTTCATTTGTTTCAATAGGCGTATCCTAGGGTAATGGATTGAAGATCGATGGTGATCTAATTTCACATGTGCAGATAACACGTTTTGGTGTGAAAGCCCTCCTGGTATTACATTGGTCTTTGTATAATAATAAGCATGACTTTCTGAATGATTCTATTTTCTTTCTCTTTTGGCAGGATTTTGTTTGTTTTATGCGGTTCATGGTGTTCTGAGGGAGAGAGAATTTGAGTTGTATGTCTACATTGTGGGAATTGTGGTGCTTTTGATCTACATTATCATAGATCTCATAGTCAACGACGTCAATAGAACTACTTTAAAATGGGTAAGTCTATCTGTAAATTATTGTAGTACTCAAGACATGAAAGCTCTTTCTTATTGTAACCTTGAACTTTTTTTAGTTATAAGCAGTTTGATCTATGTGGGCTGGAATTAATTTTTAATTTTCCAAACTCAGATACTGTGTGGCATGAAATCGGCAAAAATAACATTCTCTAACTTGAATTCGCTACACAAAAATAAAATGAAAATCTCATCAATGCTGGATACTCCAGCAAATTTCTGGTGTTAGGTGAGGGATAGAGAGTAATATAGGAATTAGCATTAATTTTATGGTATGTAGGTCATTAAGAGTTTTGATTTGCATGGTTATAGGGGTGGTCAGATAATGTTATAGGAATTTACTTATCTTGATTTTCCGTGGTGGTATCTCTGTTGGAAGTTACCTATTTCAATACAGATTGTTATAATTGCAAATAAAAAATACTGGATGCAAGCTGTTATACCTTCTTTAAAATGATGCAGTTTGAGAGACCTCCATTCCTTTATACTTTAATTTTTATTGACCATTTATTCCAGGGGGGAGGGGGGTGGGGCAGTCAATGGAAGTCTTGGTAAAGCTGTGCTGCCGAGGTTTTCAAACCCTGACCCAGAGCTGTTTAAGACAAAAATTTTTCATTTTGCTACTCTGTTTAAGTCAAGAGACTTGATTTCATGATGGTGCAGCCCTGGTTTATTTTAATGTTTTGCACACAGAATTAAGTATTTGATGCAATGTTTTAAACAAACCCCATTGAATAATATTGAATAATATGGATTAAAAATAATAATAATAATAATAATAATAAAAAAATTGTTGGTACCACACATGTAGTCTGTCCCATCGCCAACCTTTGCATCCTTTTAAAGGCCTCTGGTCCAAAAAGACTCCCTGTTCAAGTTGTAAATTTATAGTGAAATTGTATACCCTGTTTAAGATTCGAGACCCTGAAAATCATACCCTGTCTGCGGCACATACCTGTCTAGGCCAAATAAGGGTGTGCCCCTGAGCATTCATTGGGATAAGGATGGGGTTGTGGTGAGTCACATGTCCATCCCTTGCCTATTAGAACTGTAGTAATACAAGGCAGTGCGGACATCGAAAAAATCTTAAAAGGTTATGTTTGTAAAATGTTATCATGCTGTGTAGATGTCATTAACCCTTTAAGTCCCAATAGTGACTAACGTCAATTTTCTCCTAACGATACCCATACAATGTCAAGAGATTAGGTTATGAGAATTAATAAAATGATCACCTAAGGGAAAATGCCTTGATCTTTTAACAAATTCTCTCAACTCATTCGTGAAGGAAATGTATGGAGATCAGTTTGGAGAACTTGTATGTGGATATTGGGGCTTAAAGGGTTAAGTCTGTCCATTGCTCAGTGATTGAAGAGCCATTAGCTTCTCGGTTGGTCATGGTTCTAATTGCCCGAGACATCTTTCCCAATATGACAAAATTTAATATTGCTGTTTAATAATATCTTAATAGGTCAGGTTTGGTGCTATAATAGGTCTTGGCCCTCCAAACATATACTTTGCCATCAAAGTTGCCCAAGGGTTTGGATACTTGGCTTTCAGGACTGTTGGAGCAGCTGAGTCAATACACAGTAAGTGAGGGGTCCATCTAACATTAAGTGACACCTAGCAGCAGCTTTTAAGCAGTGCCAAGATCTTTATTCTTGACCCTTAACAGACTCAGGAAATTTAACTAGAAGTGCATTTCAGATTTCCCTTCAACCTGATTGGCCAATTGTAACAATGGCTTTTTTAACAGGCCAGCCATGGCACATGCTCAAATCCTGGTACACAGTTGGTGCTGGCACCCTGATGGACTTGACCCGAGGTTTAGTTTTGTCTGTGCAGGGTTGTCAAAAATTGCCGCCTACTTTGTTAGTATTGGCCGGCTACTCTGCTAGGCATTTCTTTACAGATGGCATTTTTGAAATAAAATATCCCTGGACTGGCTGCTTACTGTGACAACTCAGCCCTCTACTTCAAAACTTTCTGACAACCCTGTCTGTGGCATATACTGTATAGGCTATCCATTTGGTAGCTTATTGAAAGGGGCCTGTGAAAGTGAACTTGATCTTAGTGATGGCAGACAAATAAGGTCATGTTCCAACTTCCAATAAATTTGACAGTATTGTTTATATCAGTGTTCTTACCAGACTGCAGCATTGCAGCATTGCCTCATTTTTTGGGAAATACCGCACTATAATTAGCCCAAGGGGTCCCTGAAGGGTGGATAGAAAAAAAAAAACTATTACAAAACATACATTAGCAAAGACAGTCACAGACATGATTTTCATGCTTTATTGTCAATTCATAAAATCAGTAGGACTAATAACAGAAAAATGATAAACAGTATTAAAGTTATCATTCAGACATTGGACATCTGTTTTTGAAGAAAGTATGAGGTATTTGCTCTAACTCAGAGCTGTAAAACATTGAGTTAACTGTATCTGAGAATTGTGACCTATTTTCTCCCTCATGACCCCCTTTTAGCTTCTCTATGGGTCCTGTGAACCCCTGTGAAGAAAATCCTGGTAATAACACCATTATATGTCACTATATTTGTTGCATTCCAAAAAAGTGTAATGCGATTTTGCCATGTCTCGTACAAAAATTGTACTTCTGCAGTTTTTTAAGCACAAGGGGTGGGGAAGGTTAATTCCATATAATGAATAGTGAATAAAATCCATGATATTTAACATATATTAATGCTGTTAAATCAGCCTCTAAAATCAATTGACCTCTGATATTGAGTACAAGTATATTACAGTGTGACTGCTATAACCAAGGCCACCTAGAAAAAGTTGACTGATTGGATGACAAGAAAATAGCAATACATTCCGAGAAAGTTAGTTGTCAATCATAATTACTAGAAAGTGAAATCAACAGCATGGATCAAAATCAACTAATTACAACCCACAGACATGACCCTTTGAACTCGCTGAAGAAAGCCTATGTTTCCTGAGAGGTCCGTTAGAGTGTCGACAGAGGCGAAAATTTAAACGTTAGTCATATTTTTGTCTTGAGGTCGCTTATTATTGCAAAGTGTGGAAAGTATAGTAGCAAAGAAATGCTGGTAGATGACAAAATAACAGTTTGTGTCAAACAAATATGTCTCCAGGGGGCTTATGTAAAGTGTCAAATAGAAAAGCTTTTCTGGTGAACCTTTTGCTTTCTTGAAAAATTTTGCTATCAATATTTAACCCATTCGCTCTTGGAGATTTTGCCGAAAAACGTGTTTTGAAGCTAGTCGAGTGGTTTTCTGGTCACTGTCGTGCTATAATGAGCTAGAACTTACCACAAACCAGTTTACAGGTCGTACACTTCGCGGCCTTGTGATCCAGACGCAAAATATCAGCTTGCGAAGTTTGGGCATGTGCAGAAAGCAAAATTTCGAGATAGTTTTTGGGTTTAAAAGTGACACAGCAGTCTTCACTTTTACTTTTCACTTTCTCTCCTCCCCTCTTTTTGCGCTTTTCTTGCCTCATTTTTTTTTCTCTTACTGGGCATTTAGTAGGCTTCGTTTTGGTGGGAAGAGTTTTTAGGAAAGCTTTTAGGATCTTAGGATTAGGTGAAAGGAAAGGTAGGTGAGCAATGGAACAAGATTTTCATGGAGATTTTCAGGTCAATGTCACATGGTTTTCTGCTTCTTTCTCCGGTGTCCCTGACTGAATTGTGCTCATTCTGGTATGGTTTGAAAGATCTCTTCACTCTGCACAAGTTAGTGGACAAAGTTGTCCTTGACCGTTAAAACTGATGACATCACAAAGGGTAGAAAGGATGTGGATCCGCACGGGCAGTTACAGGCGGTTCAGGGGCGAATGGGTTAAATTTTGTGTTTTGAGTAACTTATTGTTTTCCTATGAGCTGCTGATTGGCCCACAACCAACTTTTTTGGGAGTATTGCCTGTAATCTGATTGGTCAACTTTTTCTAGGTGGGCCCCGTTACGGTAGTGCCATTGTAAGTATTTATTGTGTATTGATGTTGTTATTTTTCTGTATTACAGGGATGTATAGATATGCTGGAATGTTCTCATGTCTTATCAAATTTGACTTACAACTTGCGGTGAGTGTTCTTTTACGTTGATTCACTCCTTTACTCTAATAAATTTTCCATTATTTTGAAATATGCAGTGGGTAAAGGCACAAAACTGAGCAACAAGGGAAAATATATTTGAAACATCTCACAGAGCCAAACAAGGGATGGGTGGGGGTGGGGTTGGGGGCTGGGAGCTCCCACTTGAAATAGACAGGGATACTCGTCATCTTGCATAGCGTTGTAACTTGCTGATTTTGATCCCACTAATAGGGAGTTGCGGACAGAATGCCAATAATTTTTATCCATACAAGTATTCTTTAGGGTTGTGTGTTAAGAAATATCTATAATTTTGTAACTGCTCAGTGCATGCAGTAGTGTAGTGTGATGCTGCATGCTGCTTTCCAAATATGGGGCTGCCATATTTGGGCTTGTCGAGAGCACGAGAGCGAATTGGACAAGTATGTAAAGAGTGAAGTGGTGGGAATAAAAACAGTGGAAACTTATCATTATCGCAGTACGTTTTATTAGCTGAACCCACGGAGTGTAACAATGAATATGAAAAAAATTAGGCCTTCTAAAGTGTTTTTGTAGGTTTACTATAACCTTATCCATGACCAGATTGGTGACTTTTAGAGGTTTAATACGAATTTTCTGATGAACTTCCCCACCCTTTTCTTAAAATTCTGAGAGTTTTCCCTTTCCCAGGCTTACAGTACCCCATATTAAACCCGCAGGTCAGCTTAGCGGTGTTTGTGATTATGAAGGTGAATGATTTACAAGTGGGAGATAAGATTACGGTTGGGATTGGCATTCCATTTCAGCTCTTTTGGAGTATACTTGGTTGGTGTGCTGTAAGTATTAAGGTTTCTTAATACAGTAGAACCCTGATAACTTGAACTCCCCTCTAACTAGAACTAAGTCCAATTTCCTTTGGATTTCACTGGACTTTTCAGTCACTTTACTGGGTTAACTCAAACTCGGATAACTGGAATCCCACACTAACTCGAACTAAACAATTGAAACTTGCTAATCATTAAATTTGCACTGCACTATACACTGAAGTGCTGAAAATCAGTAACTATCAGTTTTTAATGTGGCAAATTGAATTTTACAATTGACCCCGATAACTTGAACCCAAGCTAACTCAAACTGTTTTTCGTTTCCATTCACAGTTCGAGTTACTGGGGTTCTACTGTATTAATTTACAATGAATGAGCTGGTGATTGACACTTTATTTCAGTAGTGTACATATTATATTTTTACAATCATTGTGTGCAGTAATAATAATAATAATAATAGTTAATACTTATATTGTGCTTTTTCTATAAAAATACTCAAAAGCGCATTACAATATTATTAATAACTAAATTAAAAACCAGTAAAATTACCCGGTAAAATTACAATAATAAATAAAAATAAATAAATAAATAATCTAACTAAAAGCCTTTTTAAATAAATATGTTTTAACAGAAATTAGTCTCCCTTAATGACTTGAGAATAATATGACTTGTGGATATTGAACAGTGACTCAGTATGGCCAAGTCATTAGAGTGCTGGACTTGCAATCCCAGGGGCCTTGAGTCCAAGTCCCCTTATGGCCTCCATGACTGCTAGTTGCATATCGGTAGTCCTGGATGCAAATTCTCGGCCACGCTTGTGAAAAAGCCTACTGCGGTTTGCCTCCTACCAGTTGGGATTCTTAACCACGTTATGTTTCTTTTGAATTCTTTGATTCATTATCCCTGTAAAGGGGAGAGGATAATAAATTATTCAAATCTTTTCAAATGTTTACATTTTTTAAAAAAAATATAATTAATATCAATTATTATGTTAAATATGGTTTGAATGCACAAATCATTCCCCTGGACTGTGATGGGTTTAGTTTCAGAAAAAAGACAAGTAGAAACGGTCTGTATATGTTGGATATAGCTATTACATGTGAGCTTATAATTTGAAACACTTGCTTCCGGAAGAGCAATGAAAAGTTGTGGAGGTTCATGTACCCAGTGGTTGCAAAGCCCAACTTGATTATATGCTGGTAAACAGGAAATGGAGGAACAGTGTCAAAGACTGCCAGGCATATGACTCTTTCAGTATAGTATACTCAGATCATAAAATTGTCTCAACTAAACTATGCCTCAGTTTGCGAGCCAATGGGAAGCCAACTGCCAAACGTACCAATTTTGACTTAAGGGAGGCTTATAATGTGGAAGTTAAGGATTGTTTTGAGACCGTGTACGAGCTTGAGGAAAAACACACTCTGAACGATCTGTATACTCCAGACGTAGTTGTCATGGCCAACAGACGGAAATGGGAAAGACTTCTCAAATCAGTGCAGGTGCGCCCGAAATAGATAGATAGATAGATGGAAATATGGTCTTAGTACCGGGGATAAATAGTGCTCAGTGGCTTTAATTTAAATGGTCACACTTTAGAGTTTCATCCACAGAGTCAAAAAATAAAAACCGCCTTACATACTGCATTTTTCCAAAATTGGCTAGACATTTTTGTTATGAATCTGCTTTGAATTAATTTTCAGATGAGAAGGGAGATGAAGATTCTTGTTTGGATATTTGCACCTTTGAGTCTTGTGGAACCTGTTTATCTTATCTACAAAATAGTTACGGTTAGTCTTGACATCAGAGTTCGTAAATATACCTCTGGGCCCAGTTGTTCGAAGGCCGATTAGCGCTTACCCCGGGGTTAAATTTAACCCAGGTTTCTTCTTCTTGTGTTCAAAAGCATTTGCGCGGATAATTTTCTCTGTTATGTTTAGAGCTTCCAATCATTAACTTGTGGACAAAAAGAATTAAAACTGAAATGCTTTTTAAACTTTCAAATTTGAATTCAAATGTCGCACTAACCCTGGGTTATCTTAACCCAGCTTTAAACAACTCGGCCCTGGAAATATTCCCGAAAATATGTGGAATTTAATTATACGTGTATTTCTTCCTGGACAAGTTGGAAAACTCTCTTTTTCATCTGCTCGTTGAAAACGACTAGATTTTCATTTTTTTTCCCTTTTAAATTGGTGCGGCATCTGATGTGGTGAGTGAAATACATCGTCTTTAATTTTTTTAATGCCGTAAATAAACTTTTATTTTTTAAAGCTTTAAAAAGTGTTCTATGAGCGTTGAACTGTTTTAGTTCTGGTCAAAGCCACTGGAAATTAGAAGCAAACCTCTGGTCCTTTGCTTGCATGAACTCTGGGGACAGTGGTTTCTTAGTATTATGTGGTACCACTTCGTGATATCTTGTTCTGTTTAACACCTCCGAGGGGTGCATTGATGGCCAAAGATTGTTTTTACGAAGTAATGGACAGCTCATATGTTAAAAGGCATAATAGCAAATGTGGGTCCACATAAATTTTTAAGGAAGGAGAGAAATACAACTGAAAGTTTAATTTTATAGCGTGGAACCTAGATAAAGATCTCCGATTGATACCTAATATTCATTATTATATGCTGATTAAGTAATAATAATCATTGTTTCAATATTACTGTTCTGTAGATTGCACAGAAATGGGATCAGAATATTTCTCATGGAAAGGATGTCCTTGTTTATTCTTTTCTTGGTGCAGGTTTGCATATTTACTGATCATTTATTTAAAAAAAGGTGAATAACAATGATATTAGTAACTCCTTACAGACAGAGAACATGCAGTCTATTCGGTTATGAATATGTAAGTGTTTAACCATGCGAAAAGTATTGCTCAGTAGCTAGCATTTGAATGGTCACCTTGAGCGGTTCATCCACAGACTCAAAAGTTAGAACTGCCTTGTACAGCATGATAAACAGTACTATTGGAAAGTACTGCTCTGCAGGTTTCAGTTCAGTGAATGGTCACACTAAAAGATTTTATTCTCAGACTCAAAAGTTGGAAGCACCTTGTACAGCGTAGTAAACAGCACCATTGGAAAGTACTGCACAGTAGCTTTCATTGAAGTGGTCACAGACTCAAAAGTTAGAACCATCTTGTAAGGCTCAGGGCTTGACGTAGCGACCCGTGGGGACGCCAATGCGACTATATCTTATTCTGTGGCGACTAACTTTTCACGCCTGGTCGCCAGGCTGGCCCCCGAGATATTTGTGACCTTCTTTGGAAAAGCGTACGCTTTCATTGAAGTGGTCACAGACTCAAAAGTTTCAGCCATCTTGTAAGGCTCAGGGCTTGACGTAGCGACCCGGGGGGACGCCAATGCGACTATATCTTATTCTGTTGCGACTAAATTTTCACGCCTGGTCGCCAGGCTGGCCCCCGAGATATTTGTGACCTTCTTTGGAAAAGCGTACGCTAACGATATCCCGTTAAGTAAAGTAAAGTTAAAGTCAAACGTTAAATGGACCAACCGTTAGCTACTAAGAATCAACCGTTAGAGCGTTTAGGCAAACCGTTGGAGCGTTAGAAAAGCTGTTAGCTATCCGTTAGTTTTATAACGGTAACGGAATACATAAATATGTAAAAATGAATTTTATAACAAGGGCCATGTAGGTGCTATGTAGCCTGTTTTGTAGAAGGTCTTCTCTTGTATTCAGGATTGACTTTCTGTAACTTATTGACGATTTTTTGGGGGTTCATTAAAAGACCTTTAGTACATTGTATTCTATTTTTTCTTTAAGATAATTTATGGCGACTAGAATACTTGTCCTGGTGACCAAAAATGAAAACGTAGGGGCCGGCTGGCCCCAAGATTCCTTATCTGAAAGTCGAGCCCGGAGGCTTAATGAACAGCACCATTGGAAAGTACTGTACAGTAGCTTTCATTTGAATGGTCACAAACTCAAAAGTTAGAACCACCTTGACTCACGGGAAAGTACTGCTCAGTAGCTTTTATTAAAACAGCTGTGTAAACTGTAGTGTTACATGGCAGAATTACATAAGTTAACAGATTAATGTCGTGATCTGTATCACTAAAAGACAGCGTTATGTTTCAGCTGCCATGGCGTTCGTAGTACGAGTACTGGTTGGAATCTCCTTCTGGCTGGTTGTTCGTAACTTTGGGAAAGGATTGAAAGAAACTGGTTAGTAGCTGCTAGAAATCTAGTCAACATAACACAAACATTAGAGAGATTTGCAGTCACTGTTACGCCAAACGGCAAACGCGAAGTTGTACCACGTGACCAAGTTTTCCCCTTAATTGCCGTTTGATGTTAATTACTTCTACACAAAAATGAGGGGTTCCACGCCAGTTTTATCCACAAGAAATGTTCTGGACAGTTTATTTTCTAACTGCTTATTTTCTATTTTTAGAAATTCCCAACTTGAATCTGACGTTTGCACAACGTGACGTTGGCTACCAATATTTGTCGATCTTTGCTAGAAGAGTAATCACCATTATTTTTCCGATCGTCTCAACATTATTGGCCAATATTTGCCGTTGATCGCACGATTGTTAGCCAACTTCATTTGCAAAACTGTTAGACGCGTGGTTAAAACGCCTACGTCAGGATTTGATCAGAATTTTATCCGCTTTCTTGTTGTTGCTTTTTGTCTTGCTTGTTTGTTTGTAGCAAATGCAGTTTTGTATCACATGCAGGTTGTATATTCCACGGAAGTATGCTTTGCAATGTTGGTAAAAATATTTCTTTCAAATATTGGATTTCAAAAATGCCCTTCTTCCCTAGTTTACCATTTCACAAAAAGAAGGTATAAAGCATTTATTAGCTCTATTTCTTTGTATGAGAGTGACCGATTACCTATATTCAGAAGTGTTTCGTTGATACACCTTTTTACCAATATGGCAGCCATATTAAATTAACTAGATTTAAGAAATATTATGGGATGCCCAGGGGGCATGAGCACGATTCGATATACTCGCTCAGTACGCGCGCTTTTCGGGCCAATTTTTCCTAAAGTTTTCCTAGAAAAAGATTGTAATGGGAAAAACGATTGTTGTGCCGTGTTTGGATGTAACAATGATTGCCTTTTCCCCCAGAAATATACAGCCAAGTTTTCTTTTTCACCCGAAAAGCGCGTGTTAATACGGAGCGAGTTCCCCCTGGGTATCCCATAATACTCCCTAAATCAAATTAATTCAATATGGCCGCCGTATCGGTAAGAAGGTCTGTTACTCGAACAATAGTCATTAGTGCCTTCAACTCGCTGTGCTGGAGTACCAAATATGACTTTCTTTCCATTATTTTTCAGTGTTTAACCTTCCCGTGACAGGAGACGAACCTCCGATTTTTCCAAGGAAAAGAAACACTGCTAAATGTTGTGGAGTAGTGTGCTGTGGCCCTTTAGGTTGAAAACCAGGATAAATAAATTGAGACGTAAAAAGTAAATCAAGGTTGCTCTTGTCTAACAAGATATGCAACTCACCAACCGCGGTGCCAAGAAAGAAAAGAAGTTGAAAACAAGGCTGACAAGTTACTGCAAACTTTTATCATTTCAGCACAATTTTATTTTGCTGTTAAAGTATGTTTTGAATATACTTAGGTAGACTTCAAGCAAAGTCTTCCCCAAGTTGTAACTGACGCGAAATTTTGCTTTTAACTCTCTTCAGTTTTCAGTGTGCAATGTAATATCTATAGTTGATTAGCCTTGGACGAAAGTGGTTTAAAAAGCACTTTTGCTTTTTTGTTGAAAATCGAAAACTGCTAGTTGGGCATCTTCGAGATAATGGTAACAAAGTAAAGAGGAAAAGCTTCATAGCGTTGTTTTTTTAAAAACTAATTTATTAGAAAAGAAAGCATTTGACATAAGGTGCAGAGTTTAGATTCTCTGTTTAAGTGTCCTCCCTGAGCAAGATATTAGCTCTTAATTTTAAAGAAAAGAATAACAGGATGGCGTGTTGAATTTTCTTGTCCTAGAGAGGAGCGAATAGCTAAAATGGCGTAGTTTTTTTTGTATCTGTTTTGCCGAAAACGCAATTCCATCGTTAGAAAGTTCGATACAACACCTTAGCCGTGAAGATGAATTATTTATTTTCCGGGTACTTATGTATACTGTTTTATATAATGTGTTTTCCACTAATATAATTTTTTAATTTTTTTTTCTCATTTTGGAAAGCATAAAGATACATGAAAATATAACCAATAGAGAATTTTGTAGTATAGAAAATGATATTTAGAAAAATCTGTATCAATGGACAATAAAAAAGTATGTCTCGCTCATCCTATGGGTGTGCATAAATATGCAGAGCAAAATACAAATTAAAAGGCTGGAAGGAAAAATATAGATATTTGTAGGCTTGTTTATTGAGTGGAAGTCATTGTTACATTTGGGCCCGACAATTTCACTTTTGAAGGGGGGTTATGGTGGGGCAATTTTTTGTTTCAAGGTTATTTTGTTTGATACTTTTTTGGAGCGATTAACTCCCCTACTTGCCCGTACTAGGCCTATGTCAAGGATCGTTTGCTTCACTCGCTCCTCTGTCCCTGAGGAAAATAGAGGGTGTACTCGTAGTCTTACAATCACCGATTATTCTTCATTTTTTTAAAATTTTAGTATCGACGGTAAATTCAGAAAGGCTTACGAGAGCAGACCGTTTAGCAAATGGATACTTGACAGAGAGATAAATGAACCTGACCTGTCACCCTATAAATAAAATGATCAGTTAGCTAACGATTGTGCTCCACAAGAGGTTACGCAAGCGTTCGGCAGGAAAATTTAATCATCATATAAATGTTCCGGTAAATTATAGTCTGCTACACAGCCGTTTTTAGTGTCGTCACGCAACGCTCCTCTCCACAAGCATTGCGTGTCGACACTAAAAACGGCTGTGTAGCAGACTAGGTAAATTAAGGCCCAGTTCAAACGTGGAACTTTACATGTGCCGAACCTAATAGCTATTTAGGTCGACAGGTGTAGCAGAAACCCTTGTGAGTTTCTGGATGTGGAGCTAAGTTTTGCCTAAATTTGGTTACCCCCTGTATTCGGTCCCTGTGGCTCGAGAAAGAAAGATCGAGCAGGAGTCTGGGTACAAAACTGGCGGACATTTTGAAAAGTTAGTTGTATTCAACACCGCAAACCGTTTGATTGTTGTTTGTAGATGAGATGATTTGAAAATGGCCATGGAAAACTACTGCAGTGACAGTGGTGTTTCAAAGAAACGAGCGAAAGAGCTGTTGACAAGTGAGGAGGTCGAGTGGCTTAAAATCGCGGGGAAAAGCTTTTCGAAGACAAAATCGATGGAAACGTTCTGTTCGAATCTTTTCAAGATCATATATTCGTCTTCTTCGACGGTTGATCATGACATTCTCGCTAAAGTTAGGCAATGTCTTCCGAAGAATCAAAGAAGCAAGTTTACCCGTTATTGTAATGAGCTACTTAAGACGGAGGCCTTGCGGGGTCAAAGAAGAGATTCGGCGAGGAACGGAAACATCGGAGAAGCTATTAACGAATTCAAAAGAGGCACAGGTTTAGAGAACTTTGCACCGAATTTTCAAGGTAGCCCAGCTAAGAGGAAGAAGCAAGATAAGTTAAGACCGTTGAAGAATAAGATTGAGAAGAAAGAGTCAAAAATCGATCGAGCTTCTGCTGATTGTGTCAAAGACAGAAAACAATCAAAAACTTTGAAAGCGCAACGAAAAAAATTGGATTCACCTTCAAGATCGGGTAACAAGATTATTGTCCTTGAAAGAAATTCTTTGAAACAAGGTTTTGGATTCAGGATACGCGGTGGAAATTCTCGTGAGCCATCAATAACCGTTGCGGAAGTAAAACAAGGCTCCATTGCTGACCAACAAGGATTAAATTATAGGGATAAGATTGTTAGCGTAAACGAGAAACGTTGCGGGAAAAACGGTATGAACATGAATGAGCTTATTCGAAAAATCAAGACCTCAAATGTTCTCCAGATACGAATTACTCCTGTGCAAAGTTTCTGCGAAGATGTCCGTAGGGCTGAAGATGTTGGTGAAGCAAATGGAACAGAAAGAAGGAAGCAAGAAGATGAGCTGTTGTCAACTGTTACTGTTTATCCGGGGGAAGATGGATGGCTTGGGTGCTGTATCAGGGGGTATGTGTACCAGTTTAATGAAATATCGCCATCCCCTCCCCTCTTGACCTATCGGAATTGGTTGGTTCTCTGACTTTTAGGTAGCTTATTAAACTTTGTGTAGGTACAACCTCGTCCACAGGGCTTTTCCCACCCCTCCCAATTTCTGTCTGAGGAAAAAAATATCTGTCACATGTTTTTAATTTATCTATGAGAGAACACAAAGACTAACCATACAGATACCTTATTCAGCGGTACATACCCCTCTCTAGGTCAAATAAGGGATTGCCCTCCCCCCACCTAGGAGAACTCCACTCCTTGCTTCCAAATGATCACATGCTCAATGGTTTGAATATTCACTCAGGTTTTTTTAAACCAGTGACATGTTCTGAACATGACTTTGTATTTTATTTTCTAGTGGCACTGATTATGCCTGTGATGTACATGTTATCTCAGTTGATGCTGGATCCCCGGCAGAGAGGGCTGGTATAAAGCCAGGAGATGCGATAGTCAAGGTGAGTATTTCCCAATGCTGTAATTTTTAGTCTTACAGGTAAAGATCCATACCAGTTTCCAATGTTTTAATAAGATTCCTTGCTGAAAGATAGCCAATATCCTACCTGAATTCCCAGCAAAAAAAAAGAGATTATTTTGATAAATGAAATAGAAGTGTAAAATAGATTAGACTCCAGCCCTGCTGTTATAGAATCCCACTTGCCTAGTTCTTGTATGACATCTTTCAATTAATTAGACCTTCTTGGACACACAGAATGATGAGGCCAAGTGGCAAGCCTAGACTCTCACCATGAAGGACACGAGCTTGTTGTCCCAAGAAAGACTGCAACTCTGCTAGTTAATTTTACAGGGTTCAAGTCAGATTTGTTCTGTTTGTTCTTTTTAAAAAGTAAATAGGTGGGTGAAACAAAGCCTGAGGGAAAATGTATATAAGGTGAAATGAGATTGAAAGATGCCCTCATGGACTCAGCCACTTATCAAAACTATTTTAATATGGTTCTTTTGTCTTGAATTTTCACAGATAAATGGCCTCAGCATCAAGGATTTGACACATGTTCAAGTTGTGAGACTTGTCATAACATCCGGACTTTCTGTGCAAATTTCCTTGATGTGTGGTCGTAAACAAAGATCATCGGGACAGCAAGCCACTAATGTCCAACCAACACAGCTCAGAACTTACTGTACAAGGCCACGTGATGCCACTCCTCCACAGAGTCCATCTTTTAAACAGTTCCGTCCTCCTGGGTACCCACAGCGAAACCATGGGGTGGCTGAATCACCGTCACAGCTCCCTCTGGATGTGTTGTCCTTGGATTGTTTACCCCCTCCTCCCTACACTCCTGAAGTGCCATCTAGGCACAGGGTATTAGCAACAGGGAAAGTGGAACCAGTAACCCCAGTGCGATGTCCTGAAGAACTACAGCAAACCCACTGCAATCAAGAAGTACAAGACACCATTTTTCAAGAAGAAGAACAAAGCTCTTCTTTAGGACAACAGCAACAACCACATGGTACCCACTGCAGTCAAGATTCACAGCATGCCAGATGTAACAGTGATGAGGGAAAACCTGAACGACAACAGTTACAGAGCTCCTCTTCTGTACAAAAACCAATGGTCACCATGGAAATTATTGATTGTGAAGATATTAACACTGATGACGCAGACATGTTTCAGGATGTTGGCCTGATGGGACAACATCATGATTCACATTCAAGTATTGTGCAACAAAGAAACAAACCAGAAACTGTCATTGAAGAAACTCAATATAACACTTCGCCTTCTTCTTCAAGCCAATCCACAGCTAGAAGTAATGACAGAGAATGTCTTCTAAGTCATATTCAGCAGTTTAATCAGGCAAATCTAAGGAGTTTAGGAGATTGTCCACAAATAAATGCTTCAAAAGATATGTCATATTCATCAGATGATTGTTTGCCTCCAGCTACAAACCAGCTCTCTCCTCCACAAGAAAACAGCAGAGAATGTTTTCTTAGCCAAATAAGACAATTCAATAAAGAAAAACTAAGAAAATCATCTGGATGTCCTGGACAGACTATTCCTTGTCAGCTTCAGGGTAATCCCAGTACAAATGAAGGCCTGCCCGAAGATGTCTTACTGTCAGTAGAAAGTGAAGAAGATAGCATGCAAGTTAATGATGTCCAAGAGTGTGTAGATGCTGACAGTCTTTTTGCTGCACTTGCTCAAGTGATGCATAGCAGAGCAAAAGTACTGCAGGATACTTTAAGCAGCATAGGGGAATATGATAGTGATTCAAGTGAAGGCGAATGGGAACTTTGATTAATGACTTGAACAGTATGTGCACTTTTTTGTGTCAGAGCCTGTATTCTGTAAACAGCTGCCCCCTCCCATCAAACAAAATCTTCCTGATTTTGTTTGAGGGAAAGGGGCGGCTGTACATGGACTACAGCATCTTGAAATGAAAAGCGGATAATATGAAAGGTCCGTTTATGGTTGGGGAAAATCCCAATATGGATGGACGGGGACTGCTTGTCAGACTTCAGTATTTTTATTACCAGTTTGAAAAATAGGCTATTAATCAAAACAAAACTAAGTTTTGCGTCTATTATGCACTGAGAATAAGGTTGGGTTGACTTGTTCCCTTTACCCGTGGCCTGCCACGGTGTATAACAAAGCTTACTTGGTATTAGATTTGCCACTGGCTGCAAACTTAAGATATGTTATCATTCAAGTCTGTCAGGTAGCTAATAAGTAATACTATTAGAGACCTTAAGATGCACGGTTTCCTTACACGGGTATGCATGGGTAAATTACCTGTGCACTAGCTCTAGAGGAAGACTGCTTTTTACCCCGGGGAAATATTTAGCGAGGCCTCTGGGAAGAATGGTGATGGCATTATTACATCTGGGAAATCATGGTTGTCATACTTACCCATATCTAATCTGTAAAGAGAAACAGTGTAAATTGATAAAATATTTTCAGTGAAGTATAAAACTGTGGACCAGATATTTTATTTAGAAATAATTATTCAACAATTATTGTTGAAATAAGTTTTGTAAATTATGTGTGAAATTATATTAATGCCCGTGTGAAATGAAAATATTTTATTTTTGAGGTATTTTAAGAAGGTGAATCAGTTCTGTGTTTTAACCCCAGTTTGTGATATCAACTTATTTTGCATATTTTGGTCATGTTACAGTGCTATGTAATAAAAAAGGCTAAGTAAAACATCTGGCTCATTTTTTTATATCGTGGAAATGTGTAGGGCTTTCGTTTCACAATTTTGGGTGTAAATTTCTTTATCACAATTTAAAAAATTTTTTTTTGAAATAAATCCTACAGCGCGTTTGGAATCAGTTCGTTCCTAAAAAAAATTTCGGGCTTGTAGTCCAGTCCAGTCCAGTCCAAACCGTTCCATTTGATTTAATTTTATTGGGTTACCTGTGCGTTCTCTCCTGTGCTAGTACCATTCTCCCGCCTCTGGTTACTACCCATCATGGCCGCTCTCGTTTCATTGCAAGACATTGAAAATGCCATTGAAATAATCAACAAAAGCCCTATGGTTTACAGGACCCCACTTTTACAAAATGTACAAAACATGTTTGGTTTTGGGGACCAATTTAAGCTGCACTTGAAGATGGAAAACATGCAGAATACAGGTATAATTTATTACTTAAACACAGTATAAAACATCAAGTTGAGATTTACCGATGTTGATAAGCTATAAAACCACTGATTATCTTGGTATGTGTAATGGTTTGTGTCAATATTTGGAAGGTCTTCAAATTCCTGATGTAACTCAAACTGTAATTCTCAAGAGATGAATGTTAAAACAAGGTTCCATCTTTCTACACCAGGGACTCAGTCTAAATACCTGAATTGGAGAGAGCCCCTCTTAGGGTGGGGGTTGGGTTGCGTATGTCCCTAGTATGAATTTCAAATACGATGGTTTTGCGTCTTCAGGAGTAGGCCATGTCTCTCTCAGTATAATATTTTAACATACCGTCATATTTGCTCAAATAAAAGCAGGGGCAATTATTTTTTTCTTCGCACCAACAGGTGGCGATTAATTGAGGGAGGCGATTATTTCAAATGTTGCTCACTGGAAATTGTGCCCTAAATATTTTGTTCTATTATCCCATTATATCAAAAAATAATCACATCAAATAAAGTGAACATGGGCTAAGTGTTCTAGCCTGCGAGCAAGCTCTCCTATTTGGGTAAGCGAAGTGAGCCTCGCGAGAACGCGCGAGCGAGGGGGCCGAGGAAAGGAGAGCTTGCAACGATCTCTCATAAATTTTCATTTCCACCCGGGAAACCCCGGGACTCCGCAAAGCGTGAAAACTGTCACCGCAAACGTGCCGCAGATTAGAAAAGTGACAACCGCCTGTCAAGTAAGTTGAGACAGCCGAGGACGCGTAGAATTATTTATTTATTTATAAATCGCTTTCGCAACAGCATCAAAGCAATGTTTTTGTATGTTTTTTTTTCCACGGGGACATCGAACTTCAATGTGTCCGCTCGGATAAGAAGTCACTAATTTGATTCTCGTTTCGTTTACTTTCTCTTTTCCTTCTTTACGGTCAAGCTACACAGCTACACTGTCAAGTACATGTTTCTGAATTTTTCTACCCAGTAGAATTCAATCGGGCGAAGAAACCGATGTTGGAAAACAGTGCTTGAATCACTCTTCACTTTCACTCTCCCGGTTTTAGAACTAAACAAGGTGCTTGACACAAACGAATACAACTCAGTGATGAAGGGTTTTCATTTTCCTTCCACAAGAACTACAAACTCGACATGACTTATCCTCGGCTCGCAACATTCTCTTTACAAGAGTTACATCAAACGAGCCCGTATGCTTTGAGGGCTGAAACAAGTTCTCGGTACCAATCTGATCCCCCTGAGAACCAAATATGACACACAGACGAAGCCGGTGCCAGCTTAGCCTGTTATCAATCAACTTTGATTTCCGGAACGTCATTTTTCAGCCAATGGTATTTCCCTTCGTCTGGGCGAAGTACAAATGAAAATTTGTAAGGGATGGTTGCAAGCTCTCCTTTCGCCTGCCCCTCGTGGCTTCGCCGCTCGCTCGCGCGTTCTCGCGAGACTCGCTTCACTCGCCCAAATAGGAGAGCTTGCTCGCAGGCTAAAGTGTTCCAAATTTGGTTCCTAGATTAATTTTCATTTTCAATATCCTTGGCATCAAAGCTTGAATTGTTGCTGATCAGTTTTTGCCTGATGAGACTCCACCTTATTTTCAGCCCGCAGATTTACATACCGCTATATATGGGTATCCCTGCAAGAGCGTGAGGGCGATTACTCGAGGAAGGCAATTATTTTAAATATTTCTATCAAAGGGGGGTGATAATTCAAGGCTCAAGGGAGGCACTTAATCGAGGGATGGCTATTATTCAAGGAGATACGGTATCTATCCATTTCATCTAGTCTTATGTCGCCTTTAACCAGATGAATTTTTTTTGTTACCGGTAAGTGGGCCTATAACTGGGTGGGGGCTTGAAAGTAGGGGGAAGGGGGGGCAGGGGGGCAGGGCTTGTAAGGGGAAGTTTAGCTGGTGGCTTATAAAGCTTTTATTGTGTTAGGTTCATTTAAAACCCGTGGCATTGTCAACCAGTTTGCCCACATCCCTGCTGAAGTCATTGGCAGCAAGAGAAACCTTGTGTCCATCTCAGCTGGGAATTATGGCAAGGCGTTTGCTATTGCTACAAAGAAACAGAACTTACCAGCGACATTGTGTATGCCAGAGACAGCACCTGTTAACAGAGTAACTCTAATTGAGGTATTTCTTTTCTTTTCTCAACTTTCCAAAGGCAAATTAACTGTCTCTTAATTGATATCTTATGATATTATAACTTAATCACTTGCAAGTTGAACTTACAAAAAACCTACAATAAATATTGGCCCAAATTGTACCTTAGAAATCTACAGTCCCAAGACATTTGTATAAGGTTTGATTTGCATTAATATACAGTCAACAACTTGTGTCATTTATAGGCATAATTATTGTCAACATATTGCATGCAATAAAGCCGTGGATAGTGATCTACAATTATGCCGCTTAATTTATCTTACGGCTAACCTGAAATAATTATATTCTTTTCTAACAATTCAAAGCTGATTTACAGAGTCTTGGTGTGACGGTGGAAAGAATGCCATCATGCAATTTACAAGCTGCTGTTGATCGCCATGTCAGTGATGATGGCATGTATTTCCTTCACTGCTTTGATGATCTTAATCTTATTGCAGGCTATGGAAGGTAACTCATTATTTCTGGCAATAGAATGAGGGAGGGAGGGAGGGGTGGGCGGTTGGGTGAGCTTTTGATGGGTTTGTGACTCTGTGCTACACGCTTCCTAGTTTTAAACTTTGCATAATAGCATTCTCATAATCAAGGCTGAGCTCTTACAGCTCCTGCCCACATGTCCAATACTCTCGACCAGATTCCAGTGGACCAAACCTGCCTGGTGGCCCCTGGCACCTATCTCTTGCTTACAGGTGACTAGAAAGTCTTTTTTTTTAGATATAAATCATACACTGGGCACCATACCGATTTCACAGATTCATAGAGCATTGCAGAGCTGACCTTACAATTTTTTTTATAGCTCAGCCTTGAATACTATTTATCAGCACGGTGCTAAAATTAAGGTGACAATTGACTCTTGATCTAATGTCAAATTCTCCATCTCATTTACAAGCATATATGAAGTGCACTGGAATGACAATTTTATTTATCAGTTTATCAGAAGCCAGTAGCTTTACTCCAGCTGGCACCACTTAACATTGTGTCTTTAAAGCTCCCTTTTCTTCTGATCAACCCTTTTTAATTTCAATGTGTCAAATTTGTTCAAAAATGCACAACGTCCCACTTGTCCCCAGTCATCTGTTTTTTCTCTTATAAATATTATTATTTGATGAGGTTTAATCGCTGCTGGAATAGCTTGCAATGAGTATTCTCCTTGTTTAATAGTGCTGGTGTCGAGATATTAGAAGAAATTCCAAATCCTGATGTAGTGATCGTGTGTTGTGGAGGAGGTGGCCTAGTGTCTGGTGTTGCGGCAAGCATAAAACTTAAAGGAAGTAAAGCAACAAGGATATTTGCTGTGGAACCTGAAGGAGGTGGGTGAATTAAAGGTCATGTCCGATAAACTGCTAGATTCTCCGCCCAATCTGTCTTGTGCATTTTTTCGAAAATGCAAGGGAGAATTAAAAACTTGGTCAGGAATCACTTACAATAGGACCTTATTACACACATCCCTTCTTCCCATGCTTTACTACCTGAGTGCCTTTCCTGAGTGAATGCAGCAGTGTTGGTTTTCACAGTCATGGTCACACCCTATCCTGTTTCAGTGGCAGATCCAGACCTTCAGATAAGGGTGGGGGGGGGCAGTCATCCAGACCCTGAGGTGAGGTGTCGGGGGAAGTCTCAAAAATATTTTTTGGCCCTTTGGGCCTCAGTTTGGTCTAAAAATGGGGGTTGGGGGCCTCTCCTGGATCTGCCACTGTGTTTGTTCAAATCCACATTGAATGGCCATTGAATGGCTTGAATGGCCAGTCAATGGACAATGTCCGGTCAAAAGTAGGCTTTGTCTGATCAAATCCTTGAAGGACTTGACACTTTATTCTCACTGTTAGTTACACTTCTAATAATGGGAAATTTAATTCTATAGAGATATGATGTAATAATGTTTGTTCAGCCAAAAACGTCCAAGCAAAAGTAGGTTTGACAGGATAACTTGACTGGTACCCACCACAAATTATTTCAAGCCCTACCCCCCATTTCAGTAGGGTTATAATTACGGGTAACTTCTGGAACCTTCAGTTTAAAAAAGATCTGGGATTTTTGAAAAAAAAAATTATTGATGTACAATGGTGAGATAATGACAAAGAAAACATTAATAAGCTTTTAAAATATATTAAATTTGCAGCACCTACCATGTATCTTAGTAAACAGCAAGGTCATTCCGTCAGTGTGAAATCAGTAAACACCATCGCCTCAGGACTTGCTCCCCCTTATGCAGGTAAGGAAGATTGTGAACGTAATTTCTAGGGACTCTGCAGTAAAATAGCTCAAACTTTTTTATGTAACACTAGCGTGCCACATATAGCCCATGGCTACCTAGACATGTCTGTGTATCGTGCGTTTCTTATTAAAGGACAGTTTCACTTTCCAGTAGCGTGCTCAGTCTTTTCAGTGTTTTGTACACTTCTTTACCTGCCCTGCCCACCTCCTCGCAGTTATGAACTATTTAAATTCACTACCAGGAGCTCCCTGCTCCTACCTCCTCGCGCTGAGTTTCCCATATCTGACTAGCATTACAGGCATTGTTTGTGGGTGGTCCTAGTGAGAATGTATCAGAATGTCTGTTGTCAAAGAGACCAGCAAGCTGGCAAGAAGAGTGGGGATCACAATGTCTGCTTGTCCAGGCAAAGTGCTAACCTGCAGAGAACTTGATGGTTTGTTAATTTTTTCTCAACAGGAAAAATTACTTTTTGTCATGTGCAAGAGTTTGTAGAAGATGTTATTTTAGTCACAGACGATGAGATCAAGAGGTCAGTACATTGATAACCTTATAATATAAAATCTGTGTTTCCATATCGAGTCTTAATTTTTCATTCTCTTGAATTTAAAGGCAAGACAGCTGCAAAACATTATCAAAATTCAATTGTGTAATTACAGAAACATCTGTGCAAGACATACTCTTTCTGTCAAATAAAATAATTATTGTATTTTATGCTGTTGGTTCAGGCCTTTCCTAATGTGAAGTTGATTTTACTCCCCTTCCCCCAAAAATATCCTATGGTGTTACACTGTGAGGAGAGAAGAAGTTAAGTGAAGTTTTCCTTGTAACATCTAGGCTTACTTAGATAAGGTTATGAATAATGGCTATTTTGAGTGACATGGGTATAACTAACTGGAGGTGATTTCCGATATACAAAAAAATTTGCCTTGACACTTCCACATTATTTTGTATTGCTAAAGTTTCTTCACTCTTATAATTTAAAAATTTGCTCAAACATTTGCAATAAGTCCTCCTCTGGTTGCCGTCTGTCTCTCAAGAACACCGTTGCTTGTAATTAAGCATCCAAAATGAATTTTCACATGCCATTTCTCAGTAACTACAGTGAATTTTTTAAAACCTTTCTTTTTACACAGGGCTGTAAAGACATTTTACAAAGCTGGTCTTGTTGTTGAGCCCTCAGGAGCTGCAGCTTTTGCAGCCTTACAATCAGACAAAATACCAGATTTATTGCCTGGAAGCAATGTAGTTGTCATGGTCACTGGAGGAAATGTAACAACTGAAGAACTGTGTGATCTTGTTAGGTAGCAAAACAGTCCCACTTTTTGTAACCGTGTTCAGAATGTATAACTACTACCACTTTAAAGTACATGTACCAAGGCAGTTACCTGCAGCATAAAACCAAACATCACACTTACTGTAATGTAACTGCTAACCACTGACGATAAATTGGAGACTTTTACAGGGCTGAACAAGTGAACATCAGACTTAAAAGGGCTATGTCTCAAGGATATTGCTGTTTAAGGATGTTCGTGCGAAAATCTTCTAACATTGATTTTTTTCTGAAACTTTCACCAGGTTGAGATTATGGGTTACTCATGTCAAAAATGTAAAAAAATTGGGGGGTCACCGAATTCGTTTCGGAGATTTGTTGTTCAAAAGATCACCCAAAATCTGAGAAATCGGGCTTCGTTACTGCATACGGATAAAGTGCCTGTTTGTGCAAAAAGTTTATAAATAAATCCCTGAATTGAAATTTTATCTGCCAATTATTGTTCTTGTGGATCCATAAACAAAATTCGGTGAACTAAACAACTTCCTCAGAGTTGATTTTATCATTTAGCGGACACATTTCTACTCTCCTAACAGCCGCACAAATGCCAAAGTTTGACGCCGCCAACACAGAAAAATTGAAAATTTTTTACCTTCCCACATTGATTTTTTGTTCAATTTTTCACAATCTATCGGAAAGTGGAAGAGAAAGTGGTCCACTGAAAAAAAATGGGGTGTTACCGACCATTTAAGAAAGTAAATTGCAAGCGAAGTTAACGCAATGGCTACCAGCCCTATATGTGCTTAGACAGTTTTCTCAGCACGCGCGCTTGATGCATGACGTGGCATGATATTGCGCTATGAATTACGTGCACAGTAGGGATGCGCAGAAACAATTAGCGCGAACGTCGTTAAGGTCAATTCTGTGCTGAAGTCATGATTACTTACTGTTAGGTAGTGCTTTTACTGCCATACACATTAATTATGCTCCTGTAGAGTTATGAAGCAAACAAATCTGTCAAACAAATTTCATAAGGAACCACTAACCATAATGATTTTGCTCTCTCTGAGTTCTCTTGACTTGTTCCAGAGACTGAGATTGGCAAGAGAGCTTACTGGCAGCCTTTTGTCATCTTGTTTATAACTGTACAGAACCTGTGTTTACAGGAGTTTCAACTGATTAAGTTACCATTTATTTAAGACTAGGTAAGGTGTTTTTTCTGGATACATAATACTGTCTGTACAGGAATCACATAAAAGATGTCTTTTTTATTATTCAACACATGCGCTTTTAACAATTAAGGAATATGATTATAACATCTCTCTAAAGTTCATGTAAAGAACAGGTTACATATTTTAATAAAAATTACAACCTTGTAGTTTATGTACTCTGTGTTTGTAAAAGTGTATAAAATGTTGGGAGTGTAGAACAACTTCCACTAATCTTATATTAAAAGACTTCTAAAGGTGACTTTGTAAAGGGCCAATACTCCCAAGAAATATAAAAACTAGGTACATCTGTAACAATATGAACCAGCTTATAACTTGTACTCTGTTTTGTAAAACTGTCTAAAATGTTGGGAGTGTAGAATAACATGGGTGTCTTTTGCCATTACTCCCAAGAAAAATGACAAATAAGTACATCTGTAACTGATTTGAAGTTATTGTGTGAATAAGCAGTCCATTCCAGGTATTTAGATTCCCATGAAATCAGACAGCAGGGTCGTGGAATGTTCTCACTCACTCTTTCCTCTTTTTTGCTATTTTCTCCAATTTGCTCCAAAAATCAGTTAAATAAGTTAATTTTATTTTAAACTAAAAGTTAATATTTGTAAAAAGAATCAATAAAGGATAAAAAAGTACAGCCATCACTCAATTAAGAATATCATAGCCCTGCAGAACAGGCTGATGATTTCAGGTTAGTGAAGACAAGTAAGAGGCTGGTGTTGGCGTAGGAGGTACGTGAACACACAATGGGGAAAGGTGCCTTTCCCATTATTTTTGCCCCCTGCTTCATGCCAGCCTTGTGCTTGCCTTCACTTGCCTGAAAACATGAGAAAAATATTAACTGTTTGTTAAAAATCTAATTAAAATATCCATCACTGGGGAATGACCCTGTGCAATATGTAGCGCATGGTATACAACTATAAACAGATTATTCCCAGTTTCATCCTCAGACTGTTACAGAGCATCAGCCTTTTTGCAATTATACAAAAGGCTTGTTGACTTTGAACTGTGGATCGCACAATACATTTTGGAGTTTCCCATGTATTTTCTTTGTCAACACCATTTTTTCACAGCCTCCCATAAAATTCTTTTGTAAGGGCAGTTTGTGTTAGTTGCTCTAATATATGATCTGCATAAAGAGAGTGCACGAGTTTGAGCTTTCCTTCTGAGGCAATGCAAGCAATTGCTGTCCTTACTCTAGTAACTGACAATCCTTCCAGATTTATCTTAAAATGATGATAAAAGTGAGTCTCCAAAGCCTTGAGAAAAGTCAACGACTCTTCTTCAGTAAAAATGAAAGAGTTTTTGTCGTGGATATTTTCCCAGATCTCTTTTGCATCCTTTTCCTCGATGCTAAATAAAATTCTGTTCAGTCCTGTCACAGTCGAAGCATCGTAACAAAGTTCGATTGGTGAGGATTTGCCAGCTGATGACATCCCTGCCCAGAGAGAAAAATACCAACAAAGATCTGTGGATGAGAAAGTCATCGGGGTGATTCTACAATCAAATTTCTGCTCAAACCATTGGATCAAACTTCTGCAAAGGTCTGCGGGACCTTTGATGAGACAAACTGGTAAAGAGGTAAATTGTCTTTGCAGTCTCGTATCTTCTGAAGCTTCCTTTTCCACAGAGCACATCATCATTGTCAAAATTGGATCAGAAGTTGATTTTACTTTGGTAGAAGCGTTTTCTGTAAAATTGTTGACGGTTACTTTCACAGCTGAAAGTTTCGTGTCTTCAGCTGTGATATCTTTGAAAACAAAGATGTCAGTTTTGTATTTGCGATTTTTGATTTCGCCATTTGCTCCAACTAAAAGCTGTTTATCTGTCTCTAACTGTAGAAACCCAGAAATTTGCTCTGCATATGTTGTCACGCTGGAAGCGTCAAAATCATAAAGCGGCGATGCCTGATACACACGAAGCGTTTTACCAATAATATCCTGAAAGAAGTTTGAAGTCTTTCCCTCAGTTTGAAAAATTCTAGCATTAGATCGCTTCGACCCGTGAGAAACTACAGTGGTTGGAAAGTTTTCCTTTTCTTGACGATTTGCGGTCTTGCGAAGAGATCGTGTAGTCTCCCCATCTTGTTTTCGAGTAATTCGTCCAGATTTGGGGGTTGTAACGTACGGAGTATGTCTTCTGGAAAGCCAGGGAGTGCGATTAGATTGAATACGTCGTCCAGCCGTTGAAGCGAAGCCACAAACCTTTCCTCTTCTTCCAGATTCAGATGGAGTTGAAAAAAAATCCGCCATTTTGCAACGATTATTTTTCAAACTTTCCGCCTTTTCAAACAAAGGCTTGGATGCTAAGCAAGAAGTGTCTGGTAAAGGCGCGGCTACCAATTTTGTGACATGAAAGCGAGGCTTTATGCCACGTTGAGTTTTGAGAGTGGACAGAAATGGTGAGATATCAATTTGGTTTTGCATTTTCTGATACTATAATAGATTCTGCTTGAACTCGTAACCTGTTATTTGAATTTTGGATTCTTCTTCTTTACCATGAAGGTGTCGGTGCTAAATACAGTGGATACCTCGCATGAGGATATGATTGTAAGTGGCTGACATTTAGATAAATCTAGATTGTGTTTCGCCAAACCAAGAAACCAGAAATTTGTTAGTTTGAAAAGGCCGGTTCTCCCGCCGTTTGAGAGAGGATACACGAGAAGACACGACTCACTGTTAAAGAAATTCACTGACTTGTTTGCGTTTGAGTCATCTTTGTTTGACGCAGAAGCCTTTAATATTTAAGCATGAAAAACCTTAAAATCTCTTGCATTTATGCCATTTATAGTAAGTTTATTTTAATACACAATTTTAAATTAAAAGGAAATGAGAGTGAAGAAAACAAAAATGACGTACATAATTTAACCTACTGGGATGTTAAGAGATTTCATGCGGACATAACAAATGAAACAAAATACCCACTAATGTGAATTTCTCCAGGTTTACTTGTTCAAATGTACATGTTAACAAAATCATTGGCTGTTCAAGGGCTGTTTGAATTATAATAAATTGAAAACATGGTACTCTCCGGGAGCCTTGCAGTGTAATGTCAGTATGTAGCCTGCAGCTCCTAGGCCTCCTTCACGGATGTTCCTTTGGCTCTTACGGCTAGCAGCTTCTTTTGACTTTGCTGATGAGATTGCTCTTTTGTCTAATGTGGTTGATCAGGCTCGGAAACTACTCACACTAACAGAGTCTGAGTGCAAGAAAGTAGGCCTGCAGCTTAACCCAAAGAAGACGGAGGTTATCAATAAATTACAACTCGAGTGTCGATAGTCCACTCAAAACTATGGAAGGAAAAGAACTGCAAGAAGTTCAGGATTTTAATTATTAAGGTTCTCACATTGCCTGCACAGAGAGTGACATAAAAGCAAGAAAAGGCAAGGTCTGGAAGGGGCTGAATGACATGAAGAAGATGTGGAGATCTGATATGTCCAGGGGCGTAAAACTGTCATTCTTCAAAGCCACTGTGGAATTTGTTCTTCTTCATGGTGGTGAAACCTGGACCCTCACCAAGTCATTAAATTGTTGTTATACTTGCATGCTGCAAGTGGCCTTGAATGTTTCCTGGCAAAACCACACCTCCAATGAAGATCTTTTTGGAGATTTTCCGAGAGTTGGAGATGAAGTAGCAGCAAGAAGGATGAGGCTCGCTGGGCAGTATCAAGGACATCCCTACCTCCCAGCACACAAACTCACCAGGACTTTGGGAGCCAACCCATGGCCGTAGAAGCAGAGGATGACCAAAATCAACATTTGTTGATATCTTAAAGCAAGATGCTGATGTAGACTCTAGTCAGGAATTAGAGGCACTGATGCTCAATCGAATAGTTTGGAATAATCTTGTCAAGACTCGGCTGTGGCCGACTTAGTAGTAATAGTAGTTCCTCTTGGGAGGAGGACCCAGTGGATCAACTGTTATAATCATAGAAGATGTGGGGGTTCAAGTTTGATCTTTTCATTTCTATATCCTCATTATTATACATCAGATTTATTGCCTGGAAGCAATGTAGTTGTCATGGACATTGGGGCAACAACTGAAGAACTGTGTGATCTTGTTAGGTAGCAAAATAGTCCCACTTGTAACCATGTTCAGAATGTAAAACTACTACCACTATAAAGTACCAAGGCAGTTAACTGCAGCATAAAACCAAACATCACACTTACAGTAATGTGACTGCTAACCACTGGCGATAAATTGGAGACTTTGACAGGGCTGAACAAGTGAACATCAGACTTAAAAGGGTTATGTCTCAAGGATATTGCTGTTTAAGGTCAAGTCTGTGCTGAAGTCATGATTACTTCCTGTAGTGCCTTTACTGCCATACACAATAATTATTATGCTCCTGTAGAGTTATGAAGCAACAAATCAATCAAATTTCATCAGGAACCACTAACCATACATCCTCGGAGACCCAGGGGCAGATCATGGGGGCAAGGTTCAAGTTTGATCTTTTCATTTCTATATCCTCATTATTATACATCATGACTGGTCAAAAATCCTATGCATTTGCTACAATAATTTAAACAAGTGCTAACAAGTAAAGCTTGTTGATTGTAAAACAAATTCTTCTGTTAAGTACCATAGAAAATACATATCAAACAGTAAGGAGAATATATGTGCTGACACAGTTTCTTTCTTAGCATGATGCCCAGATGGACTATTATGGCAAGAAGCTTGCTACATGCTCATCTGACAGAACTGTAAAAATTTTTGAAATTAATGGAACGACTCAAAATCAAGTGGCCTGTTTGAGAGGGTAGGTGTAAATGTAAGATATTTTTATTACAATATTATTCTTTGTTTGGATAATTTTTCTGAAAGATCATCAACCCATTCTCCCTCTGGAATTTTGCTGAAAAACATGTTTTGAAACTACTCGAGTGGTTTTTGTGGTCTCTGTCTGGTTATAAAGAGCTTGGTGGTTTGAGGTTCAAGATTTTCATGAATTTTTGGGTCAACTTTACGTGGTTTTTTGCCTTTTTCTCTGGCCAACTTGACCAAATCCTGGTCTTTCTGGTATGGTTTGAAAGATCTCTTCACCCTGTACAGGTTAGCTGACAAAGTTGTCCTTGACCTATCATTAAAATAGACTACATCACAAGTGGTAGAAGTTATATTTTTATTTTTTTCCTTTCTCTGAATGGTATGCTACAACGTGAAAGATAATTATATATTTTGAATATTTATCATGAACATTTTGTTTGCAGGCATGAAGGTCCAGTATGGCAGGTTAGCTGGGCTCATCCTATGTTTGGTAATCTCCTGGCATCTTGTTCATATGACAGAAAAGTAAGTTTAATCTTAGATAATCATAATAATAATAATAATAGTAATAGTAATGGTTTTAGTAGTAGTACTTCCACAAGGTGGCTCTTCGCCAACTAATGCCCTAACTACAGTATAGTATTACAGAAAATCAAGCTGATTTTAAATTTAAAATGATATATACAATAAATTAAGGATAAGTATAAAGGGTTTCATTAAAAAGTATGTACAATTAAAAGACAGCGTGGTTCAAAATAATAATAATAAAAATCAGTCATATGCTTTCTCCTTTGGAGAACATGAGCTTCTTCGCTAACCTAACAAACTTGTTATAGTCAGGCTCTTGCTTTAACCTAGCAGGTAATGTATTAATAGTCTCGCTGCTGAGTCTTAGATACTCTACCTGACCTAAGTTATTTCCTTATGTTACTTTAATGTGTTTCCTTTTAGCTAAAGATGACATTATTATATTACCCCTGGGAATGTCACAACTATAAATTGAGCCTTATTAAATAATTATTTGTGCATTTCATGTGATGGTTTCATTTCTTAGGTTATAATTTGGAAAGAAACAAGTAATGGATGGTCAAAACTTCAGGAATTTTGTAATCATGATTCTTCAGGTAACAAGAGGTTTCTGTTCAAATTGTAATGACAATGTAATATTTTTATTAAGTCAATTCATCAGGTAATCGGTAAGTGACTGTATTTTCTAAATCTGACATTTTGTAGTAAATGCAATATCCTGGGCATCTCCAGACTATGGCCTGATGTTAGCTTGTGGTTCATCAGATGGATCTATTTCAATAATCACCAGTTCAGGTAACTATTCAATATACATACATGTACAGTTTCTCCTCAAAACGTGTCTTTATGTTTACTTTTTGGAAAAATTGTCACACATATTAAGGTGGATTATTAAATAATTATTATTAACCCTTTAAGTCCCAATAGTGACCAACATCAATTTTCTCCTGACGATATCCGTACGTTGTCAAGAGATATGGTTATGAGAATTAACAAAATGATTACCAAAGAGAAAATGCCTTGATCTTTGAACAAATTCTCTCAACTCATTCTTCAACGAAATGTATGGAGACCAGTTTGGAGAATTTGTTTGTGGATATTGGGACTCAAAGGGTTAAGTCTCTCACAGTGATTTTGCTACAAAAAGTAATGGTGAGTCCTGGGACTTCATCTTGAGAAAAATCACAAGTGCTAGTCCAGAACCATTGAGTCCCAGACAGTTCAAAAAGCAACAAGTCCCTGGGTCTTTATGTAACCACTGAAGACAGACTCCAAAACTCTGTACCTACAGTTTACTGAAATAGAAATATACTCCTTCTATTGTCAAGCACAATGAAGACTAAAAGAAATATGCATGATTTGTTAAACAAGAGCCGACAAGAACAGCCACAAAAATCACACAAACAGCAAAAACATCTTCAGATCAATCAATTGATCTTTGCATCCTACGGGACACATACCACAAATTATTTTGTCTTTGGAGATTTTTATGCGTCAGGGATGCAGGACATGGAGGTAACAAAGTCACTGCTATGAAAGACCAGCTTCAGGCCAAAAAGATGATGAGGAAAGGTTTCCTGTTCTATGCCTCATGGCATAAATGTTAGTTGAGGATTATGGTCACAAAATCTTATGTCTACATGCATATCTTTAATTGGGTAAATGCATGCGTGACATAACTCCTATAAAAAACTAAAAAATACCTTGAAAACCATGTAAAATTATTTGTAAGCCAAGCTAACATGTATTTAAATTTACTTCTTTTCAAACCAAAATAACGCACAGTGCACAACCCAAACACCTGTTGGTAAAACTGTGCTGTATTTTCTCCTCTTTCTTGGTTGCCACCATCTCACACATATTCTTTACTATGACTTTAACAGGTGATGGTACATGGGAAACGAAGAAAATAAATAATGCTCATACAGTAAGTTAGACCCTAGTAGATATTTTTTATCCCTTGGGATTTATCAGGATTAAATACACAGCAACTCTCTTTGGGGTTCTTTGGGTCTTTATTGCCTAGACCACCATGATATACCCTCAGGGACAGATGGTTGGGAAAACAGAATGCTTATCGTGTTTAATGCACTAGCTGGCTAGAATCGCATAATGACTCACACCTGGCTACAGCTTGCATATGTTCATGGGTTTGGCGCTGAACCTCTGTCACATGTATTTAATCCTGATAAACAGGTTTATCACTCGCATGTTTAACGAACTCATGGTGTAGTTTGCCCTTGATGTGTTTCCGTACATACTGTCAAGGTGAAGCCATTGAGTAAGAATAATTCTTGATGCTGTTCACGTGCAAGATCTCTTATGACCTTGCATGCTGTAATATTCAAGTACATCATTACTGTCTTCAAATGACTTCAACACATTACCCTTATCTTGTTTTATGTTTTAGTTGTGGTGTCTTTTATTAGTGGTAGTTTTACTTCACAAAAAACGTCTTGTTACAGGAAACTTCAAGTATAACAATCTAAATGGCCACACAACATCCTTTCCTGACAACAACTGAATTTATAGTGGTTTGTTTCAAATTCAAAGTTTTTTTCCTTGCCAAGGCTGTAAACATTAACAAAGATGAGAGCCCCCCCCCCCCCACCAAAAATACATAAAAAAAATTCCACTCTCAGAGGGGAAAAACCCATAAATTTCTCCAAGATGCTGAACATGCAATAGTGTCATTCTACATATATGATTCTGACTGTTAGAAAAACAATGACTGAATTTAGGGGGGTGTATGAAGTAACTGCTGGACCACAAAAGACTTGACACCATTTTATGACTTGCCTGAGTACTCTCTCTCTCTCAGATTGGTTGTAATGCAGTCAGCTGGGCACCGTCTGTTGCACCAGGATCATTATTAGAGGTAATGTTGCCCCCTAAAGTTGTACTAAATGCTTTGTCCATTAACAATGTTTTTACTTTCCTCTTCAAAGTTACACATCATTTTTAAAGAATCTACACTATACCCGATTAAGCCCCCCTCCCCTCCTCCTTATTATTCTTCACTTGTAAATTAAAGATAGACTGCATTAATCAATCTTGACTGTAAACGTTTGTGTGGACTGACCCAGGATGGCTTACTTACCAGGTGGAAGTTCAGATTTGTTTTTGATCCTTGGCTGCATAACATTGGCATAACCTGCAACGTCTTGTACTTAAGATTTTCCACCTCGTTTTTCGTTTCTTTATAGGGAGACGATACCATCGTCTTTGCTAAGTTAAATAAGCCTCCCCCCTCTCTAAAGAGCCCCCTGTCTCTATTAGGCTCCCCCTCAAATGTGTTTGAAATAAATAAGCTCCCTATAATAGAGGATTTACGGTATTATAATTTTGTGGATCTTGAGCTGTTTGCCGATCCAAACTAAAGATTTAATGATACATGTACCTGCCAAAAAACTAATGCTCTAGAGGAATGGAGGATTGTTGTGGACAATAAAGAGAAGCGTAAAGAGCTTGTTCATGCTTTGTGTGAAGAATAACATTTGACAAAGGATAAAAGGAGTACTGTATACTTCCGCTTGTAAGCCCTAGGCCTATTTAACTTTGTATTGGGATTTAAGAGTGGTTATAAACAGGTGGGAGGGGGGGGGGGGGGCTTTTAACTGAACTAAAAAAATGTATTTCAAAACAAGTTCCATTGCACTGCTAGAAGCTACATGGCAATGCTCTCTTTTTAAGCCTCTAAACATTGTGAAAAATCAAATTCATTTCAATACAAGCTAGAGGGAGGCCTCTATTTGGGGGGCCTTTTTTGGTGTACAGGCAGATGGGCTTATAATTGGGCGGGGGGGGGGGCTTAAAAGCGGGGGAGGGGGCTTAAAAGCAGAAGTTTACCGTATGAGAACCACAATGAAAGGAGGAGAGTAACAAAAAACTGAGGTCTATGCTTATCTCTAAAATATTTTGTGTAGTGCCTTTGTCGTGGTATAAGGTTTTTATGTTGCAGGCAAAATGCATTCTCAGGTTAAACCAAAATTTCCTTGATCTCCTGTGAATAATAATAAACAAAGTAGGATGAATGCTGGCTTAACCTTAGAACAGATTTGACCTGCAACATAATTATTTTGGGGATGATAAGAGTCACTGATGACGCCTATTATGATTATCTTCATTTTAGCCTGGATCTAAGCCTAGTGTGGTGGTTAAAAGATTTGTCACAGGAGGTTGTGATAACTTGGTGAAAGTTTGGAAGTAAGTACATGTAACAAGGTGTATTTTTTCACCATCTTAGGGGGTTACTATTAATAGCAGTACATGTGTCACTGTTGTACTTTTGACCAATAACGATCATGATGCCAATGAGGATACGTAATTTGTTTGGTAGTCATGACTTTTTGTGTTTGGTGATTCCATGTATTTTCCTTTGTGGCCTAAGACTTCAATTGCCATCAACTGCCCAGAAATATATGTCATTTTTCCAAGTATTCTTTTGTTATTGATTTAGTACCCAGAACCTTCTTTATCTCTTCTTTTTTCCTCATCTGTTTTTTTCTTCATTACACTTATTTTGTTTTTCATTTAGAGAGGTGGATGGTCAATGGGTCGAAGAAGAGAAACTTGAGGCTCATAGTGACTGGGTCAGAGATGTTGCCTGGGCTCCTAATGTGGGGTTACCTGTCAGCACCATAGCATCATGTTCCCAGGTAAAGTAACTTTCAGTGCTTTGGTGAAGTGCTGAAGAAATGGGAGTTTTCTCTGGTAGGGCAGCTTTGGACTGCATTATTTTACTTTCTTCAAAGGCAAACTTTGGAAAACACAGACCAGAAGTCAGTTATTTCTCTCCTCTTCTCTCCTAAACAGTCAGGACCCCCAGTTGTAATAATTATTACGTAATGGCAGAAGTTTATCTCAGCCTATTTTATCATAGGATTTTGCAGCGATCTGCTATCAGTTTGTTAATAGCAGCATGATGTCCACAAGGCACAAGTCAACTGTTGACTGTTCCCTAGGGGAAAATTTAAATTGGAATTGTTAAACCCCTCTCTCAAATTTTTCTTTTTAAAGTTTGAAAAACGTTTTATTCAGAATAGCATCCCCCAATAGCTGTTAATCCTTACTGTAAAATTGATAGAGTGGAAGCTCTCATGAGCAGACACCCTCGGGACACGAAAAAGGTGTTCGCAGGGTGCAAAGAAAGTCAGCTTTACAGCCTGCTTTTCAGGCAAGCTGTAGCTAGCATGTACTAGCCAACAAGTTATTTCAACTAGCCCCAAAACCCTTTTTCATTAGCAGAATTGATTACAATCCTTCTGTAATTTGAGTTTCCCTAGAAAACAGCACTTGCCCATCGGGCAAGTTAAGAACAAAAATCACTAGCCCGATAGCAAAATCCACTAGCCCGGGCTACGACATGACTTTCTTTGATTTGTAAGTGGAGCTGGCACTTACAGGAATGTAAAAACACATTTTGTATGGAAGTTAAGAAAAATGGGGTTTTGTGAAGGTAGCTGTTGTTAGAGCTGTCCACTTAGGAGAGTCTTGGTTTGGGGAGCTTCCAGTGAAAGTTACTTTGAGAACTTGACAGCATTTTGTTTGGTTTTTTTGACAGGATTGCCGTGTAGTTATCTGGACAAAAAATGAGGTTACAGGTGGTGGTTGGTCTTCTAAGGTAAATACAAAGTCTCTAAAAACATCTACTGGGACTCAAGTCTTAAGATCAAAGAGTTGTTTCCGATAAAGAAATTAGTACAATGTAGTTACAACACAATTTATTGTAAGTGCTGCTGCTGGTACTGTATTTACAATACAATCAATCCTTTGTGTGTGACCACTTGTCATAAATGACAGCCTCTCATAAGCAGTCACGACCACTTTTTAGAGTGATGGTTTTAGAATCTTCTATTGTTTTTAACCTCTTTTAACCCTTTAAGCCCCAATGTCCACATACAAATTCTCCAAACTGATCTCCATACATGTCCTTAAAGAATTAGTTGAGAGCATTTGATGAAAGTTCAAAGATTTTTCTCTTTGAGATGATTTTATTAATTCTCGTAGACTTTGCTCTTGACAATTTATGGATCTGGTTAGGAGAAAATTGATTTTGGTCACTATTGGGAGTTAAAAGGGTTAAGCAATCACCTGATACTATGGTCTTCTCTTTGTGTTCACTGTATGTACTACACTACTCAGAATATGAGAAGAACTTTAAGAAACAACATGGATTCACATATGTTCTTGCCTTCAATACATTCTCTCAAAAACGGAGATGTGTCTAGACTTCTCCTCTTGAAAGACCTTCTGCAGTTCGACTCTCGTAAACACCTGCCTCCCTTAAGGGCCCATTACAGTAACTGTTCACATTTTATGTGGTCCCTTTTGGGAGGTTACAGTCAAGACAGGTCAAGCGTACCCACCAAGATTCTATTGATAAATTTATTATTTGAAAAATGAGTCTGTTAGTCATTCCCGTAACTACTGTCAAATTCAAATCGGCGTTCCTGCATGTGTAATGAGCAGTGAAAATTTTATGAGAAATTTTCTGTATTTGGTCAGATTGAACATCTTTGAATGGATAAAACTGCTTCAAGACATTTACATCAATTCAGGGAAACTAAGCTGGTAGAAATTTCATAACTGCCTCGTTTGTGAATTCACTGCTCATTATGCATGCAAGAATACAGAGATGAATCTTAAATCTACAACTACCAATGGATTCAACTTTTGAATAGTAAATTCATAAAAGGGATCTCAGAGGGTACGCTCGACCTTCCTTGATTTTAAACTGTAACTGACATACATGTAAAATTAATCTGTCATAACGTGATAAAAGTGGTGACAATGACTGGGTGTGAGAAAATTGTTGTCCAATCACCAAAAACACCAAGGGCTAGTGGAGCAACCCATTGGGTGAGCCTGTTTTAATTATGAGCTGTCTTATGGGCAAGCATCATTTGCTGCGATTAAGTAAATTTTAGTGAAAGGGGGGTTGGTAGTTAAGTGCATGACTGGCCTGGTCTAGTGAAACTTTAGGTCATTATAAGTTTCTGGGAAACTTTCCACCTACCCCTCCCCTAAGCCAACATGAACACTTACTTCTCACTTAGGAAAAATGTTTGCTTAGGGGAAGGGTAGGTGGGCAGTTTCCCAGAGGCGTATAATTATCCGTAAGTTTTAACACCAGAATGGGCAAGCAATTGTGTTAAATTTTCATCTCACCATGCATAGAGAGACTGAAAGGGGCCCCCTAAACTTTTCTTAGCAATTTATTATAGCAGCTTTTTTGGTAAATGGCCAAGTTTGATAACAAGTTTGTGTTTACTTTTCAGGTTTTAAAGAAGTTTGGTGATGTTGTTTGGCATGTTAGTTGGTCTGTAACAGGGAACATTTTAGCTGTATCTGGTGGAGATAACAAGGTAAACTTAACGTAGAATCAGCCTTAAATTGGCTGAGATGCCATGTTAAATGACACTCTTTATCTGTTTCGACCCTTTCTTGAAAGTCATGTAAGAAACAGGCGCGAGATATCCTCTCACTGATAGTCACCTTTACCCAAAACTGTCCAGGTTTCTTTTAGGCAAAAAAGAAACAGTTTAACTTTTGTTGAGGGGATGCAGGGGAAGAGAAGGCAGCATGGCCGTGTGGTCAGCGCATCAGACTTGCAATCCGGCAGTCCAGGGTTCGAGTCCGGCTCTGACCACTTTCTGGATTTGTTTTCAGTTGTTCAAATCCTCAGTCACACTTGGTAATAGCCAACTGGATGCCTCCTGCCAGTTGGGGTTTTTAATCCTGGTTTATTGTGTTTGAATCATTTGTTTTTAGTGGAGTGCCTATAAACTAGCTGGATAAGCTAAGTGCACTTTCCACTATAAACAAGCCTTTAAAACTTAAAGAAATGGCATGTTCACTTTGCCATGTTCCCTGAAATATTCCTCAGTGAATGAAAGTGTCCTGCACTTTCACTGCAGATTGAAACTTCTCCTAGCTTGTTTTCCATTTGCTTTTGTACAGGTGAGCTTATGGAAGGAGTCACTTGAAGGCCAATGGGTTTGTGTTAGTGATGTATACAGAGGGCAAGGGCAGGAAACGCAATGATGTTTTTGTCATTTCTTGGCCTTATGGACCAAAAAAAAAAACATTTTACATAGCAAGAAGAATTATGTACAGGGTGTAAAATATGTCTTACCTCTCTATACCTACAGTGTACAACACAGACAAAATTTATTACATTGAAGAATAGGTTTGTGGTGTTCTTGGGCCCGAATGCGAGTTTTGCTGTTTGATTGCGTGTGCAGAAACAGGAGCGTACTTACATTGAATTATGTTTCCTTTTGCGCAAACTGTACATGCAGTGGATGTGATCAAATGCGAAACATCAGTGTCTGTTTAGTTTGAGTCCTTAATAATAATATTATTAACCTCCTTCCTTTCTCCCAGCTATTGAGACGTTCCATCAAAGTTGTCATAAATTTTTAAATAAAAAAGAATAGTTTTCAAGCTACACTGTGAAAGTAGTTTCACTTTTTAATTATTATAAGACAGTTCCTTGAAAAAGAACTGCTTATTACTTTTGTCCTCTTAAAGTAATGTGATCCTTGCAATCACATAATGGCAGTTCACAACACAGCAGTGAAACTCCATCAGCAGAACCGGTACCATTCTCAGAATATTTTTCTCAACGTCAGCATCCGCAAAAATATGCTTAAGCATGGCATAGCTGACGAGAGAAGACTCTAAGAACACGTTGAATATAAGGAGACGCGAAGTTTAACTCTTTTAGCAGAAATTAATGTGACCTAGGTCTTCGTCAAACCTCCAACTGACTTGTGTGAAAAATTGCTTGTGACTATGCTACCTAAGCTAACACTCGTTCTTAAAATTCTTAACATTTGCTACTGATTTACTGAAACTATCTATTTTCTCAGAAGTGGTGATTCTATTTCTCTAAACATATCAAGTTTACATATTATTATTGAGAGCATTGCCCTTGTTCACAAGACGTATTCACTTAAACTACAGTTCTACCAAGCAGTTTCATTATAATGATTGTCATGAATTACATTGGCATAACTTTCGTTATCCCTGGATTTGTTCATGGTACTCTAGAGTTTAAATCCTCGTCCATGCTTGTAAATAGCCAGCTGGTTTGCCTTCGGCCAGTTGGGATTCTTAACTCTGTTTAGTTTGATTTGAATTATTTGTTTCAGGCATTTGCACGGGGCCACTAGCATTAGTGCTATAGATACTGACGAGGGTAGATAAAGGAATTTTATGTTATTATTATTGTTATTATTATTATTATTATTATTGTTGTTGTTGTTGTTGTAGTTATTATTATTGTTATCATCATCGTCATCATCATCACGATGTGCGGTTTTTTTTTTTTTTCATCACTATAACTATTATTACTTTCAGCCCTAACCGAGTTAGGGGTGGGGGCATTTAACACCATGAATTCCTCAAAACAACTTGAGGCTTTTTTTGGACCATTCTCTTGCAAACAATAAATGAAACCAGCCAAAACCTCGAGCACGCCCAGATTCACCTCCCATCTTCTTCACTGATCGCGACTAAGAAGTGATTCTCTAGTTTCGCTACAATATCCAGCCTCTTAAAGCTGTCTTTAAGTGTTTTACAAAAATCATACACCGTCAATTCTGGTTCGCGTGTTGCCAAATATTCCAAGACGTTTTTAGCCATAAGCCTTAGCTTGTAATGTGTGAGACCGTATTTAGAACCAATTGCTCTCCAGCCCCTGAGCCTGGGATTCTTGATTTCCAATAGCGATGCCAAATCATCCCTCATTTCGTAGTCTAACTCTGTCAGAAGTTTCGGTCGCATTCCATTTCGACCCGGCTGAGGGATGACGTCAAGTCTTGCAGTGTTTGAATCTTCGCCTTCGTCATTTGAATTCTTATCGCTCACATGACACACGTAAGACCCAAAATCCCGCAGCTCAACTGGATCCAGAACAAGAACGGTCTCGTTCTTCCCATCCATGGCAACACTATCTTTATACCACTGATACATGAACCTCTTGCTTGCTCTCTCAATCTTGCATGCTAGTTCAACTTTTGACCCTTCTTTGTTATTTGCTCTGCGATCTTTATAATGGACCCTATAACATGAAAAATATATTTTTATTTTTGTACCCTTTTGTGTCATGGGGAGGAGTGTTGTTAAGTAGTTTGTGCATTGTTTTAATCATTCATGTCGTGCCTTTTTTGGTTGATTTTTTGTTTGTGCTCGAGTTCTCACTCTCTCGAGTTCTCGAGTTCTCGTGCAAAAGTGTTGTTATGAAAAGGTTTGTAGTTCAAGGTTAATCCACACTTCCCTACTTTGGTGTTTGAAAGGGTTTTGAGTGTTATCGTCTTTAATTTTAGTTAAATTTGAGTGTTGATTCTTGAAGTAGCCATTCTTGGGATTATAGCTCACTTTGAGTTTTACCTAAATGAGAATTTCTGTTTTGGTTTAGTTTAACCCTTAAGTTCTGTTGTCAAACTTTTATTGGTTAAATTACACTTGGCATGCTCAATCGTGTAGGTTTGTTTAAATCCACTTTTGTGATCAATAGGACATGTATTACGTGAAACTTTGAGGCTTCTCTCAAACACAGCTAGACCACAGTTTGAGGACGAATACGTCCATGTACACTGTGATATGTTTCAGTTATACATTTTTGACACGTTTTTTAACTTCCAAACTTTCTTGGTGGCGCGAGCCACCCAACCCCCTCCCTCATGTCCCTCCACCTGCTAGGGGCCTGCCGGACTAGTACAGAAAAATGTTGAAGTATATTTGAATTTGAGTGTGTTTTTTGGGAAACATAGACTGTGAGTTGGTGTCTTTCTCGCAGTAGACCTGCACAATTCTAAACCTCTCATTTCATTGTTCACCTTTAATTTGCACTTCCATTGTTTTCAGGTATAGGGGCATTGTTATGTGGCAATCCCTATTGTTTTCCCAGCTAATCAAAAACAATCTTTCAAATGGATGCGGGGTCTCCCCTTTCTCCTGCCGTTTAAATAGCCAATTTGTGCATCGGCGAGTGCACTTTCGCGGTCTCTTAAATTCGTGAAGGTGAATTTAAGGTATTTCTAGCGATTTAATGTCACAATTTGATAACAAACTCCTGTTAAAAGGCAACTGTTAATTTTTGCGAAGAAATGAGGATGCATTGAGTGTTATTTTAATTTTTTTTTTTTTTTACTGAAAAGGATATTTAACTTAAAGCACAGCAGAAACATTGCTGTGTAAGTATTTGAATGGTTAAGTAACTGTCTAGGATATTTTCCTTTCCTCCCACCCATATTACCATTTATGATTAGCTGAAGCAAATTTCCCTTGCGGCACGACCAATCAGAGCACTACCGAAACCTGGGTAGTGACGCGTCATCAGTATGGAATTTCTGCGCTCGTTTCTCAGACGTCATTTTGCGGGAAAACTAGTGGTGGCGTTGCGAAATGTCGGCTGTTTTCTCAGGCTAACATTAGGCTGATTTAGCAACAGAACGGAAACGTCAGTTGACGACGGGAAAGCGCGCGGAAAGGACTAAACGCTACTTCCGGTGTTCAATTTGCCGCTCTGCGATTGATCAAGCCAGTTGCTTGATTTGCGCGCGCTTTCGTCAACTGACGTTCCCTTTCTGTTGCTAAATCAGCCTATTATGTAAAAATCCCATACGATCATGATAAGGTGTACATCTTACCTCTAGCACGCGTATAGTAAGCAACTTGCTTAAGTGACGCATCCTTTGCAATTGTCTGCGGACCCGGGTTCATTCTCGCTCTACCTAAAGTGGATGAAAGGGAAATCAAAACCAAGCGATCACTATAACGCTTCACGCGCATGGCTGTGACTTGCCTGAAAATTTCACACACTAGGATAATCACTTTTCCCACACACAAGCCGATGAGTAAAAAGAAAAAGACAGGTGGGTTTTACCTGCAGTAAGCCGAGATACAAATTCTCCTGGGAAAGCTTACTTTTCGCTTTACCTAACAGATATGAAGGAATATCATTAAAATAAGGTTACGGTATCTCTTAAACCTTTGTCGACCTTTGACTAACTATTTTGTGGTTCCTTAAGGAAGGTAAAGTTCTACGAGCCGAGGAGTTTAAAAGTAAAAGAGAGTGTAATATGCGACTTCAAAATGTATTTTAAGAAATCTTTTCGTTGCAATGATGCAAAGTTTCTGTATTATGTAAACATTAACACCTGATTATTTTGTCACGGGAAACATGATGTAACTTGCGTTTTGAGACCACCTCCAGGCCTGAAAACGGATGTGGAAAATGACATTTTTTGGTATGAACAAGTTTGTGACGAGTTTCGTCACAAAGAACATAACAATGATCCCTAGCCTTTACACAATAAAACAATAATCTTCACACAATAATAGGACACAACAGTGCATATGTTGACTTGGTATATCGAGCTGAGCATCACCCCTTCTTCTTCCACTTCCTACCTGCAATGAAGCACTCCTTCCTTCCATTAAATCCGGTAAGATCTTAGAGTTGTTTTTGGTTTTGGCGGGGTTACCCCTGGGGAAAATATTACTTTCTGTGCACACCAAAATGTTTTTGGCATTACGGTAGAGCGTTTGCCTTCTGTCACCTCATCAGTACAGTTACGGTCACTTCAAAACTTGAAGAAATTTGTGATGGTAAACCGCTACTCAAGGAATATTTTTAGATTGTTTGGCTAATCTTCCCACTGGTTTTTAGCCACATTCCAGGCATGGCTTCTCGGATCCCACCAGCGCTTCGGGTAATGCAGTTTTTATATACCCTTGGTTTAAATTATTTTACTTAATTGTTTTTAAGCTTATTATCAGCGTTACCATCACCTACAAACAAAGTAAAATAAAATTTAAACCAAATAAATATTTCACCTTAACATATACCTTACCAGCAGCAGGGTTAGGCTTGAAGCGGTTGGGTCTTGGGGGCGTCGTCTTTTTGTTTGACCTAAAAGAATGAGAAGGGCATAAAAAGTAAACTACCATATTAAAACCCATCAATACACCTACTATACGAGCCGGCAGTGCCAGTTTATGGCGTCCTTCGTGTTTTGAATGCTCTACGTACGGGTACAAAACGAGCGCATCACTGAATGTTTCCTTTTACCTTCCAAAATATTTCAACTGATTATAGACGTGTCAAGCATCTGGTAAAATAAAGAGAACCAGTGGTTCATGGCGTCCAAAGAGAAAGAATAAAGTCTTTTTTTTTGCAAATAAAAACCTTGGTGATTTTCTAGGGTAAATCTTTCCTGGTAGCTTGTCTGCAAAAGCTGAATATACGTTGTTTTGATGTTGAGCTGAAAGCTTGTGTTAATTGCGCTTATTGCCTTGGTTTTTTTTTTCTTACCGCGGTACCAGTCTTTTTATTCTCTGTATTAAGAGAATTCCCTCCGTCAGGACTTAATACTACTATAGTTAATAAATTCTATGAAAATCTAGTAATATAAATAAGTAAAGCAAATTATTGCCGATTTCTTGTTTAGTCTCATTTTGTTCCTGTGCTTCATGTTTTTGATTGTTTGGTTAACAGCTCAGCGCGCGCGGGCTCCAAAATTGTCCAACCCACAAATTTCATAGTAGCATTTTTCTTTCTGAGAAAATTATTGTATTATATCTTATTACCTGGTCTGTTGTTGAAATAATTTTTGTATGATAAGGAGTCTTCCTCTGAAATAATGGTTCTCAGTGTCACCTCCTTGAGGTCAAGCTCTTTCAGAACCTCTGCTCTTACAAGCGTAACTTGAACCACTTCATTAAGATGCCCTGTGCGGTAATCCTTCCACAATGCCTCGAGGACCTCTAATGAACTGCAAAAAACTGTTTTGACCAAGCTGCCTAGTCTGTAGCCTTAACGTCAACTCCAAGCTTTAATTTCAGATATTCAAGCAATACATCTAACGATTTCTTGAATGAATACACAACATACCAGAAGTCAAGAACTTTTGGACGATTCTGCTGACTTCCTTGAAGCTCCGTGCTTGTAGATGGAGAGAATGGACCTGTTGGAGTGTCTTCTACTGATGGCTCCTCTGGGAGTATGGGTGTTCGTGTCTCCTCACTTAGTTTAGATTGCAATCCGGCACCTTGCACTTGTTGGGCTGCAATGGTCAATGGGCGGACAAAAGACCCACTTGCTTTAAACGAGTCAACAAGCATGAGTATATCAATGTGCATTTGCTCTTGTTTAATTTTAATCTGCTTCACCTCTTCCGTCAGCTCTTCTACTTTGACTTTAGTCTCCATGTCGTGTTTGTACCATAACCGAAGTTGTAAGACATTTTCTTGTGCATCTGGTGTTAGTGGTTCATGGAAAAAGTATTCGATGGACTTCTTCCACTCATCCCTCTTTGCACTACTTATCCCGCCGGCAATTCTCAATAGGGCCCCACTGATTTCCATCCAAAGCCTCTGAAACTCAGTATAGGTTATCTCCATATTGGGGCTGTGACCGTAAATTTCATTGCGATAATACTTAATTCTGACCAAGTCTGCCTCACGGCTATGATCTGAGATGATAGGCAAATTGTCCCATCCAGTCACCGGAGCAGTGAGGTTGCATATTGATCTAAGCAATTTACAAAGTAAACTGATATCAAAATCCACTGACTTTCCATGCCTTCCTGGTCCAATTGGGTTGTAAAGGCAGTCCCATTCGGGTTGGCTGAGGACTCTGTTTCTTCTCAGTGTTTGCAGCTGCTTCTTTACGGCAGGGTTACCAAGCACAGCTGGAAGATTAGCTGGTGGATGGATGGCGTCAAACACTTCTCTTAAAAGTGCGAGTCCTCCACGCATCAGAAGCCGTGTCAACCGCTGAAAATTAGCCTTTTCATCTGTTGTTCGTAACGCTTCTTCTACAGCAGACGGTGATGTACCTGTAGCCATTTCTTTGCAAGCATCCCAGGTGGCGCTGTTGGCAGCAAAAACATGTCACCTCAACAAATCTTAAAAATAAGAGGCTGTCAATTAAATAGGAAATCCTGTTTAGCAGGGAAAGTAAAGTTAGCTGCGTTAAAAGTAGCTGTCTGGTATGCATAGCAAGTAAATATACTCGTACATAGCAAGTAAATATACTCGTACAATAGAGACAGCATGCATGTTGTGGGCCCACTGGACTTTTACCCTGCTTGTGAGAAAATCTCCAGTTTGCATCATCTTATTAGGTAGATGCTCCTTCAGAAATGTAGACAAATGGATATACGATTAAATAAAACATTGCGTCAAAAGAGAAAAGAAAATCTTATGGAGGTCTAGTTTCAACACACTAAATTATCTACGCCATTTTAAAGAAACTAGTTTCGTCTTATGACCTCTTCAGTTGTATAAGAAGACACTGCTAGATTACTCTGTAAAATCGCCTAGATAAAATAGTGTGTTATTAGTGGATATCCATTTATTTAGATTGTTCTTTTCTCCGTTGACGTAATATTAAGTAACACTTTCTTGGTTTCAAGGAACAAAATTTCGCGGTATTGAATGAAACCTGTGCTTGTCCTATTATAGTGAATTTATTAAAAGTGGTTGTTCCTGATTATGACAGGAAGAAAATGCTTAATTCTGTCGACCGTCCAGGCTTATTAAGCAGTTGGGCACCCTACAAAAAAGTCAGTGCAAACATGGTTAAATTGTACCTACTTTGTTACTGAACCAGCCTATGAAATAATAATTATAATTTCTCTATATTCAGAAATTAAACTGATAACATGTCACGAACAAATGTCAACACGGTCTCGTATAAATGATTATGTAAACTATTGTTGGGATTGAACATAGACCTTTTCACAGTTTTTTTTTTTTCAACTTTTGACATGGACAAGTTCGGGAAAATCCGTTGACACCACTCAAAAGAGCGCCTTAAAATTGGTAAAATTGCCAAGTTTGGAAGTGATTTGTTGAAAACTAATGAATATACAGCTCCTCAAAGTCGCGAAATTTTACAGACGTTTGTATGGTGGGGGGGACAAACTTGCCCCCAACATACAAACGTCCGAATATTTTCGCAACTTTGCGGAGCATCCTTTTCAAAATCTCAGCCTGAGTTTTATTCTTGAAATATTCTTAAAATTTTGCAGATTTCAACCTCGATATTCTTATAAAATATATTCTTATAACAAAATAAGAGTTTATATTATCACCGCCCATTAAAGACGTATACATACATACATACATACATAACCTTTATTAAAGTGTCTTGTCGTTCTAGTGCCTATTGGCACTAATTGGGGACACCTTTAAAACTAAATGACATCATTAATAGAAACTAATTAAGTACTATAAAGGCCGGAAATTGACACTATTCAAGCTAAGTGCTCTTTTACACTCTAAAAACTAAGTTCTAGATTTAACACTTCGAAGCTAAGTTCGAAAATTTACAATATAAAAACTAAATGCGTATATTAGCTCGGACACTAAAATGAATAAGTAAATATGCGTACGTCGTCTTAATCTAAGCATAAGCGGCATTCACTCCCACATCCCTCAAGAAATGATGTTACATCCTTCTTACGTATCATTGTCCTAAAAGTTGCCAAAGTTGCAATATTTCTCTCCTCCTTGCTTAGTTTAGACCATAATTGTGGTCCGAGAAATCTGAGAGAATGTTTTCCATAAGTAACAGTTTTAAACCGAGGTAAGACAAAATCTGCATTTCTTAGGTTATATCTCTTACTATTAATATTCTCCTCGTTGATATTAAAAATATCCGCAATTTGGTTCACTGTTAATTTGTTTTTTACTTTAAACATCAAAATGAGTATATCCTGCAACCTCCTATTTTGTAAAGTAGTCAACTTAGCTCTTTTCAGCAAGGTGTCATAACTTTCGGTAGTAGTATTATACACTAATCTTAAGGCTCTTTCTTGTAGACGTATCACTTTCAAATTTGGCAATTTTACTCTAAATTTTAAGGCGCGTTTTTCAATGGTGTTGGTCGGACTTCCTCCCCAACTGGTCCATATAAAAAGTTGAAAAAACCGTGCAAAGACTCTGCAAAGGTCTATTTTTTTATTAAACTGGTTCTGTATAACCGATTAGAACCTTAATATCGCGTGGTGCTATTTTGACGCCAGCACAGGTGATGCATAAGTACACGTCCTTTAGAGTCCTCTGTGAACGAGACACCAGAGAAGACGTGTGCGTCCACAGAGTACCAAAATACTTGCCACCGTGAGAAACACCCCATTTGCAAGTAACCAGTTTACACAGACATGAACTCAATGTTAAAAGGGTCTTATTCTTTGCATCGATGATATGCAATGGATCAACTTTGGCTATTGGCAGGGCGAGAAAATCAACTTTTTAATGTCAAAACATTAACATCGTCGTCGCGTCAAGTATATATGTATAAATTACGTACCTTATTGATTATTCTCAGAAAATTTGAGTAGAATCGATGCCCAATTTCTTCTTGAAAATAAACTGTACGTGCGATCTTGAATATGACGGGTTACAAAAGAAAAAAAATGCACACCAGTGTGCAAGCAGTCTACTTGGTTTTCGAATCCGATGAACAATAGGATGAAATCTGTAGAACATTTATACTTTCAGCAATATTTTTTTAAAGTTTGTGGTTACAATTAGGCTTTTTAAACAAAATTACCTCAGTTTCTAAACAGTGCACAAGCAAGGAGTGTAGAAGCGAGTTCTCCAGAAGCTAAGCAAACCGGGATCGACAACTACTTCCGCCTTGGCGTATCATGGAATATGATTGCACTTGCGAAATCTGGAAATTCCACCCTTAATGGTTTTATCCTTCATAGAGTGCTACACTAAAGATAGTCACAGCTTAACTTCTCAAGTGGCTAAAACTCGGCCAGTTCTATATCGACCTTCTCTCGCGTGACATCTTTCAAGCTATGTGTGGAAAGGTCCAGAAAATTCTCGTTCCAAGAATCTGTAGAGCCACAGCCATTCTAATGTGGTTCCCACACATTATGTAATTTATGCGAGTGCATGTGTGACCCAAAAGTGGGCGATTCGTTCTTTCCGACTTGTAAGGGTCTGACTGAAAGTGAAAGTCAGAGTCCTTTCGGGAAAATTTTCAAGTTCTTAGCACTGCTTGTGATAAATACAAGCCCTAGCAAAAAGGGCAGTTAATTTTTTTTGATAAAATCAAGCCAAATCTGGAAGTAGTACTCGTACCATAATTTGCTTAGTACTAGGCAGATAGTAGCAATTTCCTTTGGGTCAAAACGTAGTAAGTGTGCTTTTTAAGGTACTTGTATTTGACAGAAATTTCAGTCTGAGACAAGTGATTGCTAATAATTTAGACCTAGACTGCCACAGCAGTGCTGTAGCATGGGGAGGGGCCGGGGGACAGCGGCCACGCTCTCTACGCTGCTTTTCGGTCCAATGTGTTCATTTCGGTTCGATAAAGCGTGAAATTTATATATTTATTGCTCAACAAAGAAAAGGAGATTTGCACGCTGGCAAGTTACTGCTGGTAATGCCAGCAACAAATGCCGCGAGTGAACGGTCATTTTCTGCTTTGAAGCGCGTAAAGGCATATTTGCGTGCAACGCCTGGAGACGCAAAAATTAAGGCTGAACTATCTCATCATGCTTCATGTGCACAGGGGCAGGACTGACAACGGTTTGACCTGGTGGCTGCAGCAAACGACAACATGAAAGCGTTGTTTGGAAAATTCACCGAAACGGGGATTCGCAAACGATGTGCCTCGAGAGTTGTCTTTGCTCTCCAAGTCGACTCAAACATCCGAATAAGGCAAAGAAATGTTACTGACCGTGGAGTCTATGCAGGTAAGAGGTTAATTTATCATACAATACTTCCTACTGACAAGTTGTACAGTCGACTCTCGATAACTCGAACCTTCAAGGGAAATCGAAAAAAGTTCGAGTTATCGGGAGATCGAAGAAAATAGCTGGGAGTAAGGAAAAACAGTTTTTACTACACAGTGAACATTTTAATCACATTTAATTGTAGAAATGTTAGGTGAAAATAAAATAAAAAACTTCTAGGTTATAAATCAGAAAGAAAGGTAACAAAACATGCCTAAATAGAGCATGCGTTTTACTGTTCTGAGAAGTAAAGCTGTTTCACGTTAGATTTGTGACAAACAACATTAGCTTCCTCTAGTTAACTACCGTAAAAATCCGAAAATAAGCCCCGGGGCTCATATTCTTGAGGGGCTTATTTTTGGAGGGGCTTATATTCGGAAGGGCTTATGTACGGAGGGAAATTTTCGTTTCAAAATCGATTGGGCTAGCTTAAATTTGGAATGAATTTACCGTTTTTGCTTTGTTTTACTTCGTATTTGAGGGCTTTTAGCTTCGCGTGCTGAAAACTAAACTACGCAGCCAAGGAAACAAAATACAAGATCCATTTCATCTCTGAATATTATGTCACGATCACGTAACCCACCGACTGAAAAAGTAACACTTCTCACGCGGTTTCAAATACAAATATAGGTAAAAGGAAACTGTTAAGTTAATCGTGCAACCATCTTTTGCAGAAAAAATTAAAGTAGAAGGGGGCACGAACTTCCAAAATATCTTTTCTTCAATGGCCGACTTCGTGATGTAGTATCGGTGCTGCCATTCAGCCCGACTAATGCACCTATCAATGTAAACCCCGTGGGGGGGTGGGCAAGGGTGGGGATTTGACAAATTTTAAAATTTTTTGATCAAATTCCCCAGGGTGGGAAACGAAAGGTCAATCAAAAGTGTCAAAAAAGCCCCCACCCCAGGGGGAAAAATCTAAACAAACAATACTATAATACTATATAAAACGAATAAAAGAACATTTCAAAAGTACGTTCTTACTACTTTTATTTAAGGTTAACGTAAGCTCCGTTAAGTTACTCGCTGTAATTAAGTATTTTCTCTCTCCACTAGCATTTCTTATTTTGAACAACAAAATCACTCCTG